CCCAAGGCTCGGCCCCGAGGCTTGCCACACCAGTTGCGCAACGACAGAACGGCAGCACACCAGATTAGAGCCATGACATGCGGACCACTCGCCTAGCTCTATCGCCTCTATCTCTATCTGAGGCTCTATTCTCCCCTTCCTCGACCGGCCGCCCGCCGCCCCGGCCGGCCGCGCGCTGTCAAAGTGGAAGCGTGGAGCGGCGTGGCCGCGACGGCCAGGCCGAGTCGCTTTGACGGGTGGAGCCAGCGGCCAGCCCTGCCCGGCACACGGTTTGGGTCAACCGCCGGCATGGCCAAGTGCAAAACGTCACGGAGCGGCCGACACGTGCAAGTCCTGCACATCGAGCTTCGCGCTGCTTCGCGCTGCTTTGCGCTCCGCCACTGCTGGCGGGCCGGCCAGGGTCGCGGCGTGGTCGCGGCCCGCCACCCGTCCTTGGGGCACACGAACACGAGGCGAGCCGGGCCGAGCCCAGCCCAGCCGGACCGTGCAAAGTACCACGGCCGCGAGCCGAGCCGAGGGCCCCGCCTGCCCCCGCCTTCGCTAGCTTCCGTTCGATGTGCGAGCCAGCACGTAAATGGCCGTTCAATTAGCATCCAGGTACCGGCAGGGCAGCCAGAGCCACCGGCACAGCGAGGCACCCCCTCTCCGCGCGCCTTGACAGTGTGCTTGACAGTGCTTGACAGCCGTCAGATGACGCGTTGACAGCAGGTCCCGTGGGACCCCAGCCAATCAGGGCGGAGGATGCTCGCGGGACGACGTCCGCGCACGGCCGTGGCACGGTCGTGGCGATGCATGCAAGACGCGGCGCCATTAATATTGAAAGCGAATTCCGAAGCACGGCGACGACGAAGCGGCGAAGCGGCGAACAGGAACTCTAGCAGGAGCACGCTGCATACCGGCCAAGAGGGAAGCCCGCTGGTGCGCCCGCCGATGGTGAGATCCAGGGGGCAGCATCGTCACTACACTGTCACACCGTCACACTGTGTCACACTGTCCGTCACTCGCGTCACGTCGCGCACGTCACCGCATTACAGACCGACAGGCCACTACACCGCGCGACGCAGACGGCGCGAGCTTCGTTCGCTCTCTGCCTGGGTCGGCCGCCTCGGCCGCGCGGGAGACTGATAGCCAAAGAGGCAGCCAACAACGGTGCGGAGCGGAGTGGAGCGGCGGCGCGGGGCGTGGTGGCGGTGGGGCGTGGTGGGGCGTGGTGGGGTGCGGGGGCCCGTCGTCGTCCGCGCCCCACGGCCCGCTCGCCGTGCTCGCCGTGCTGCAGCAGGCTGTGCTACGCTACACACGTGGTGCGGACCGCGCACTGCCACGGCACTGCCGCACCGCCGCGCCCCTGCCAGTGTACCAGTCACATGAACTCCCTTTTTACGACGACGCGACCTGTTGCGTCAGCTGCAGCGACGCCGTCAGGCCGTCACGGAGAAGAGTCACGCGGGATTTAAAACCGCGGGGGTGGCGCCAGCGCGCCCCGCCAGCCCCGCCAGCCGCGCCGAGCGCCGGGGAAGGGGTGGGGCGAAGGCGAGGGAAGGGGTGCCTGCCGAGCGAGCAGGGTACATAGTGTGTAGGTAGACAAAAACGAGGAAGCTAGGTAGCGCCAGAGAGCAGGGACACGGCGCCCCCTGCACGACACCGGCAACCTATTTCGAGCGGCGTCGCGTGGCCGGGCGTAGACGCCAGGCGGAGGCCTCTGCGTCTAGGCGCCCCCAGCCGGCAGGCGAAGCAGGCAGGCCCCCGGCCGGTGCAAGGGGTGCCAGGTACCGGCCGGAGCCAGAGCCCCCATCGACCAGCAAGGCCAGCCACGCCAGCGACGGGAATCTCGGAACCTCCCCCTGAGCGCCGGGCGCGCCATGGAGACCCCCGGGACTCCTCGGGCACGGCGAGGACGGCGAGGACCGCGATGGCCTCCACGCCGCCACGACGTACGCTATCGCCGGGGGCCTCTTATCGGCGACTTCCCTGCCCTTCCGGCACGGCGACGCGACGCCTTATCCAGCAGCAATCACGACGCCGTGATAAAGAAGACCCTGCAACCCCGGCCAGCGCCGCGACGCCCCGCAACCCGACGCCTCGCCGGCCGGCCGAGGGGGCCGAGCCGAGGCCCCGTGACGGGGTGCCCAGACGTCAGGCCGTCAGGGGGCACGATGACCCACACCATACCACACGGCCGAGCTGGCCGACCGCCACACTCGGTGAACTTTACACGATGCCAGGATATGCCGGGCGGGCCGGACCGGGAAGTGCAGCGACCAGCCCTACCCCCGACACGCCGCGACGCCGCGACACACCCCCACCTCGCGCCGCTCGCGCCAGACAAAAGGACCACCCCCCGCACGACTTCATCAGTCGCCGCTAAAATAGCAGCAGAGCGCCCCGAATACACAGACAGACGAGCGATTCAGAAGAGCGGTTTGTCGCTCTGTCTCCCTCGCGCCCTGACGGAGAGCCCCACGAGAGCGACAGAGACAGAGCGACGAAACGACTCTTCGCTCGGCAGCCCGGCAGGGCATTGCAGGGCAGTCCAACCGACGGCCAGTCGCGCCGCGTCGTCAGCGGCCTACTTGGAGGAGGGCGGCGCGGCGGCGCTAAGGAGCCCCACGGAGCCGCCCCGCCGAGCCGCCCCGCCGCGCCGCGCGACACGGCGACACACGGGGTGGAGCCAGACGCGCGACAAATGTCGTGACAAAAATACCGGCGAGCCGCGCCAACCAAGCCAAGTGCCAGGCCGAGCCGAGTGCCAGCGTGCCAGGCGGCGAGCCAAGAGGTGGTCGCCATCCGCCAGCCCGAACAGCCCGCCGTGGGCCGCGACGGCCAAAAGCCACAAGGAGCGAAGCGCGAAGCGGCAGTGCCGTGGCAGTGCCGTGGCAGCGCCCGGACTGCGGAAGGGACCGAAGGGAAGGGCACCAAGGTGCACCAAAGGGCCATTGCAGTTTTACAGCCCGGCCCATTGGTGGCCCACGAGGTGGCCCTGGCGGAGACCTGTCCGCGCTGGTCCGCGCAGTCCGCGCCTGTCCCCAAAGCACCCCCACCCCCTCCAGGAATGCCCCCGCCTCCACAGTGTGTCCGCGCAGCGCGGCACTCGCTTCGCCACACACTGTAGCTGTCACTCTCGTCAACCGGCATCAACACAGCGACATGCGTGCGAGGGACGAGGAGAGGAAGACCTTTCGGAAAACAAAACCCCGCCGGCCGCTTCACGAAAATACGGAGATCCGTAACGGCCCTGAAGAAAGAAGAACCGTGTCACGGTCACATCCAAGCATTACAGAAGAACCATTTCGCAGTGCAGAGCCACGCGAATTTCGTTTATTGATTGCCGTCCAAGTGAAATGCGTGCTTCCATTGCCCCGCCAGCAGACTCATTCCGAGAGTCGCTCTGTCTCTCTCGCACTCGTGGGGCGTGCCGTACCGGTGCGAGAGAGACAGCGCGCTGTCACATGCAGAGGGGCAGCGGAGGAGCAGCGGGCGGAGTTACCGAGTCGTCCAACATCCGAAATAGATCCACCGCGACGTAGCGACGTAGCCCGCGGCTGCCTACGCTTCCTCGCGCTTCCTGGCGAGGCGCGTCGACGACTAGAACGGCCGCCGCGCCATTTTAAACAAACCCTGCAGACCGATTCCGAGAGTCGTCTACGTCGCTCTGTCTCTCTCGCACCCTTAGGGGGCGCCCCATGAGTGCGAGAGAGACAGAGCGACGAAAACGCCTCTCGGAATCGGTGGGCTGTTTGCTACGCAGAGGGCCGCTAGGGCCGCGAGAAGATCTGCCCAAGTTGCACAGGATTGCAGGAAGGCGCGGCGTTACGTCAGTCCGTCAGTCAGGGCGGCGGAGAAAGAAATTTGGCCGCCAGAGGAGACCAAACAGTCTAATTTTAGCAAAGCTTACATAATGAGGCGCAAGCTCCACCGGCCTCGCGCCTCGGGGGAGATTACATGAGCACAAGGGTGGCTAAAAGATTTTTAAAAAAGGATGAGACCAAATTGCGGCATGGAAATACCACTCATACGACTTCAGTTGATTTTTAGAAGTCCAAAATCAATGAAAAAGCAGTGACAACTTGTGAAATGACACCTGTCACTTCAGAACGTCACATGTCACCTGTCAAAAATGACAGCTTCTGCTATTTGACACGTCATGACCGGTGTAAAACTTTATTTTTATCAAGTCAGTGAAACAAGACTGCTCAAACTGAGCCTGAATGAGTGGGGGCGTCACAGACAAATGGCCAAATTCCCGGCCGCGTCAGCGGGACTTTGTCCCCTGAGGTGACGGCGCTGTCATTTTTCTTTGACAGGAGGCGCACACAGAGCCAGCGGGCCGGCGGGCCCCTCATGACCACATGGCGAAGGCAGCGAAGGCATGGTCCTCCGCACGTGACCGGAGGAGTAGAACGCGAAGCAAGCGAAGCTAGCGAAGCGAGCCTCGTGGCAGCGGGTCCAACAGGTCACAGGGAAAACCGTGACGATGCGCAAGTCCAGTGCCGTGCCGAGCCGTGACACTGCGGACCGCCACTGCCGCCGCGCTGCGCACAGGTCCATTCTTGCCGAACCGAATTCGCGGGCCTCCCTAACCTTCGCGACAGCGCAGCTACGCAGCCCGTCCAGGCACAGGCAGACAGCGGCCCCCTTGGACGGGGGCACTGGGAAGCGACAGAAGCCCCGCCGTGGCGGTCAGCGCGACGTGACAGGCCCAAAATCAACAAAAAGCGATGAATTAGCGACGGGCATGGGTTTGAATGGAGGCGCCGCTGCGCAGTGACATTTGAGCCGAGGTCGTCTCTGATTGGTCGGCGCGGCGCGGCGCTGAGCCGTGCGGCCGCGTCGTGTGGCCCCCGTGGTGTTTTCACAGCAGACCTAGCGGCGAGCACGTTCCTTCCTCGGCAACCACGTGTTCGGCCAAGGCGCCCAATGGACACGGGCAAGGAGCGACCTGGCGACGACCAAACGACGCCCGAGGGAAGGCAGCACCATGATACGTCCAAACTTGTACTTACGGTGCTTGTACTTGATGAGCTCGGACTGGAAGACTTGCGAGAAGCGCGGTGTGAAGCGCAGAGTCGAGCCGCCGGAGCTGTCAGTCCGGCCGCTAGAAGCCTTCCAGGAGCTGTCCATGTTCCTGACGGATCCGAGCGATGTGCGAGCACGCGAAGTGCGGCCGCGGCCTGCACTTTGAACCCAGAGTCCTGCAAGCCCCGCGACGGGACGCGACAGACGCGACGCCAAGCGCCAAGTCGACAGGACTCCTGCTCCCGGCCCGGGGGGCGCCGTCAGACACGCTCGGGGCGAGGTTAGACGATTTCACTTGCAAAAGAACGTCGGCCCTTGGGTCTGCGTTCACAGAAACGTGGGGAAGACGTCCGGGCACGAATGAAGCTGACGTTACGCCAGCAGACACCAGCACAAGTTGAAAGTTTACAAACAAAGGACACTGTTTTGTTCAGACGATGGCCGAGCCCCTACATGACAGCATGCTGTTGACAGGATTTTTGAGTTCGGCTCGAGCGGGCGCCGCTCCGGGCCCGTCCGCCAGCAGCAGGTGGGGTACTATGGCAGGTGAGGGGGGCGCGGGGAGCGGAGCGGGGCCCCCGAACGTGTCCGAACAAGCTCCGAAGTTACCCGAGGTCACCCGAGCGACCGCCGAGCCGAGACTCGAGGACAGCCGAACCGCGGTCCGAAAGCACCCGAGAGCGTTCCCGAGCGAACGACAGACAAATGCTCACGCTAAGAATATCTCTTGTGTTTATTTCTCAATGATTTTCAAATGTCTTTGCATTATTTATGGGTTTTGATTAAGTTGCAAATATGAAGTCGAGAGCTTCATCGCACGGGCATTTGCCACCCAAGCGCCACTTCCATTATCCTAGACAAACAAGACCGATCAGCTGTTTTTTATTTTTGAAAGAAAAAAGCTGCAGCGGCTGCTACGAGGAGTACCAACAGAACGGCAATTACGTCTTGATCAAAGCTAATAGTTTTTCCATTCTTTTGAAATGACATTCATGCTATCCACAACAAGTTTGTGGTGCTTATTTCAGCCACCGTTTAGCTGGTAAACTCATATCAGTGAAAGTTCTAAATAATTTCTTATTTCCAAAAGTGAAAGAATGATTATTCGCAGTGCAGCAGTAGGCTAAACGTCTTCTGCTAGCTGGAAGTTCTGAACTACAGAATGTGATAAATATGGTAAATATTATGCCTTTATCAATGTGATGCTCATCGCAAATGCTTTTATTTAAAAAAGTTTTCTCCTTTTGTATCGCCACCTTATTTTTTAGGAAGCTGTATGCTTTGCTTATGGGCGGCATAGCCAAATGTCACAATTCTCAAAGATTGGGTCATGCTTTTGCAAGCAAACTCTAGCAATTTGCAACTGTGATGAACGATAAAGTAAGAATCGCTTCTTATTTTGCCCTTCTTTGCTGATTATTTCACTTATTTTCCAAGGAGAGAGCCTGTGAACTAATTTTCTCAAGTTCACTTCGTTTGTTTATGACTTAGGCATGTTGTTCCTTTTCAGAATATTTCACAATGACAGCTTACTTATGTCCGATGTGCAACCAGTTTGGAAATATGGCCCGCTCACTAGGAAAATTCCAAACTTGGCACCAAGCGTCATCCATGGGTGTTTCTACTAGAGGCCTTGCATCCAAACAGCTGCCATCAGAAGCACAAGTTGTCGTTTGCGGAGCAGGAATTGTTGGCAATTCTGTTGCTTATCATCTAGTCCAAAATGGTCTGACTGATGTATTAGTTATTGATAAAGACACGTAAGTAATTTTGTTGAGCATGAGCATAAATCTTGTCTTGACACTGTCCTGTCACTAGTGTGCCATGTTCCTTAAGGGTCCCAAACCCTGCTTGGATGTAGCACTTTGTTTTGTGGCAATGTATTAACAATCCCCCTTTTTAATCTTTCTTTTCAATTACAGCATTGGAAGTGGTACATCTCACTTCAGCTCAGGCACTTTAGGATTATTTAAACCTACTCATACCCGGGAAATCATTATGAACAGTATAAAGCTGTACCGCCAACTGCAAGCTCAAGGATTTGATATCGGTTGGAAACCTGTTAATTGTTTTCTCAGCCAATACCACCCCCTTGCAGTTCTTAATGCCTTTTTAAATTACTTCAGGTCTCCGTGAATGTGGAAGTCTAAACCTGGCACAGACTCATGAGCGAATGATTGCATTGAGGAGGCGAATGGCATACAATGCTCCCTCAGGGCTTCATTGTGAGGTAATGCCAAAATTATTAAAATTATTATTGAATTTAATGTCTTGAGTAATAATTTGTTGTTATTAAATTTTAACAGGTTGTGAGTCGCGCTGAACTTCAGAAATTGCACCCACTACTGTTCTCCGATGACTTGGAGGGAGGGATATGGGTAGAGGAGGATGCTGTTGCCCAGCCTCAGTCAATATGTCATGCTCTTGCCACTCTTGCTCAAACTGGTGGTAAGGCACTTACTATCACTATATTGTGTCAATTTATAAAGTGTAAAATTCTGTCACAGACTTAATTAAATTTATTCCTTTCCACAGGAGCAAAGTATGTAGAGCATTGTGAGATGGAGCAAATTCTTATCAAGGATAGAAAAGTGTACGGAATGAAAACAAATCTTGGTACAGTGAAATGTGAATATTTTGTAAACAGTGCGGGCATGGTGAGACCTATCTTCACATTTAAAAAAAAAATCAAGATTTATTTAATATTTGTTTAAGAAATTCAATCTCTAATTACTGTTTTATTTTACTTTTAGTGGGCTCGTGACTTGGGTCTTAAAAGCAACCCTCGAGTTGCTATTCCTGCTTATCCAGCAGAGCATTTCTACGCAATCACTGAACCATTTGATGTTAACTCAAACTTGCCGTGTGTGAGAGATTTTGATTCTAGTATCTATGCTCGCGAATTTAATGGCGGTGTTCTTGTTGGAGGTTTTGAGTTGGAAGCCAAACCTGCATTTACAGATGGTTTAGGTATACCCAAAAATTGGAAAGAAAGAGATACATCAGATTGGACTCATTTCCGTAAGTATCAGATTTGTTTATCCTCTGACAAAGAGTTATAGAGCGGACAACTTGAAACCAAATGCGTTGTTTGAGCAGGGCCTCTATGGGAAAAGGCTGTCCACCGAATGCCCGTTTTAGGGAAAGTTCCAACGCCTCACTTGCTAAGCTCTCCAGACAACTTCACACCAGATGGAAGATGGGTTATTGGTGAAGCACCTGAGGTATCCACACCTTTAAATTATTATTTTATGGTGTAGAAAAATTCAGCAGTTTTTTCAATGTGGATATTATCTCTTTGCAAGGTTCGTAATTATTTGGTGGCTGTGGGTATGAATGGCAATCCCTTGGAAGGTGGTGGAGGCATTGGGCGAGCAGTAGCAGAATGGATCATTGAAGGAGAACCCACACAAGATTTACTCTCTTTCAGTGTTCAAAGGTTTCTAGATCTCCACAATAATAGGCAGTATCTTCAAGAACGCACAAAAGAAGTGGTAGGACGGTGAGTAGTTTCTGTGTTGGAGTATTGAGACCGTGATACTGTATTTCAAAGTCCATCAAATATCAAAACACTGTTTTCTCTCATTCACACTTGCAGACATTATGCAATAATGCATCCTATGCAATGTGAATACAATCACGCTCGGAAGCTTCGATGTTCACCCCTTTACAGTGTTTTAGAAAGGTATGGAGCAGTATTTGGAACTCGAATGGCCTTTGAAAGGCCACTGTATTTTGATTCTTCACAACAACGTAAGTGTTTTGAAAATGATGCTAATTCATTCCATCAAAGTGATGTGATGACCAAATTTAAATTGTTTCTAGATTGGGATAAGCCTGCCCAAATGCCACCAGGAACATTTTACAAACCCAAGTTCTTTAAGTATATGCAAGAAGAGTTTCAAGCCTGTCAAGAAGGAGTTGGAATTATTGATATGTCTTCTTTTTCCAAAATTCTAATCAAGGTATAAGTCTTTCAAATTAAGTTGTTAATAAAGGTGTAAATTGGTATTGAGAATAATTTTTGGCTTCTTCCATTTTAAATTTGTTTCAGTCAAACGGTCCAAGTGTGCTGGAATACTTACAACGCCTTTGTTCAAATGATGTCAACATACCAGTTGGTGGTATTGTTCACACTGGTATGCAAAATGAACGAGGTGGTTACGAAAACGATTGCATCCTCGTTCGGCAAGACAAGTATTGGTAAGAATAGTCCCTCAATTTCTCAACAAAAATTCAACCTGCATCAGGAAATGTATTCTGAAATTCCATTGTGATGGTCAACATTTTTAGTTTCTTCATGGTTTCCCCCACTTCACAACAAACACGGGTGTTTGAATGGATGAGAAGCCATTTAGACTCTGATGGATCTGTGACACTTAAAGATTTGACTTCAATGTACACTGTGATTAATGTTGTGGGACATAAATCAAGGCAACTTCTGTCAGAGCTCTCAAATGCAGCACTGAACCTTCACTCATTCACCTACCGAGTATGTATACCTCTTCTTGAACCCACTTAAAACTTTAAAAGAATTATTTTGTATTAAATTAAACTGACTTTTCTCCATAGAAAGTGAATGTGGGCTATGCATCAAACGTCCTTGTAATGGCATTCACACACACAGGAGAACCTGGCTACTGCCTGTACATACCATCAGAGTATGCCCTCCATGTGTATGACCGCCTAATGAAAGTAAGAAATGTTGTCAGTGTAAGATACTTGTTGTGGATTAGGGTTTTAACTGTCTTCCCTTTCAGGTTGGGCGAGATTATGGAGCCCGGAATGTTGGTATGCTAACACAACGGTTCATGCGCATTGAGAAATTCATACCATTTTGGGCTGAAGATCTGAACAGTGAAACAACTCCATTCGAAACTGGAAGTGGATATCTAGTGAAGCTTGATGTAAGTATTTCAAACTAAGGATCACAGTACAGTACAATGTAACATATTTAAATTTTAAACTTTATGTAAAAAAATTTCAGAAGGAGTACTTTATTGGAAAGTACGCACTAACTCGTCAGAAGAAGGTTGGTGTAACTAAAAGACTAGTTATGTTTAGTTTGGATGAGGTTGATCCAGACAAGGATGTATGGGCCTGGGGTGGGGAGCCCATATACCGCAACAAAGAGTTTGTTGGCACACTTACATCTGCTGGGTGAGTAAACAGACATTTCTTCGACAAATTGAATGCAAGTAACTGAGCATTGACTTACTAATTGTCATTCTAGATACGGTTTTACTGGAAACAAAATAATTGGCCTTGGCTTTGTAACTAAACCAGGCCTTCTTGCTCAAAATAAGAAAGCAGATGCAAGAACAGAAGATGAGTTTATAATTACACCCGAATGGATCACTGAGCCAGGAGCTAGATATGAGATTGATATTGCAGGCCACCTGACAGTAGCTACACCACATATATATGTGCCAACCTTCACAGCAATGGCAATAGAAGAAAAACAAGGGAAAAGTTACCGCCCTACAGTTGTAAAATCGTCTTGATGACTTCAGGCAGTTTCTACATTTGGCTGTGAAACATTGTACTTAGTTTCATCATTTGTACTTAAGTAATAGAAGTTCGGCTTCTTTGAATTAACTAGTCTTACCTTGCCAAAGACAATAAGTGTTAACATGCCCACCTTTCACTTGAGAGTGTGGGTCACTAAAATTCCCAGACAGCAGTTTTCAGAAAAGTTGTGAGATTAATGAGCAAGAGGAGCATATTAAAAACATGCCAATTTTGGATTTGTAATTTATTAATAACTCCACCTTCACATTTACTTCTTAACCTTGGAAATGTCATCGGGGTTTTCCGCAGCATCCTTAATACGCTTAGCTCGGATACCAACCAACTTGGCATCAGAACGGGCCTGAAAAGTAAACAAAGAGTTAAGTTGTTGACCCTAGCAATGTACACAAGAGAAAATCACAATCCACACGAAGACAAAATGTCTTACCTTCCTAAGAGTATCATAGGGGGAGAAGTTCTTTTCCTCCTCTGTGATAGCGCGGGCCTGGAGCTTGGGCCACTTCTGCTTAATGGGCAGGACCTTAGTCTCCAGCTGGGTGGCAACCTTACGCTGCTCCTCCTGGAAGGCAAACAATACAGCATAGTGAACAAGTGTCAAGATGTAAGACCAGCACTGATATATGGGCATAATGAACACTTACAGTGGCTTCACCCTTCCTCAACTTCTTGTTGGCTCTGATGGGGAACAGGATCAGCTTGGACTTGTAAACCTTCAAACGCTGGACATTCTGCTGAAGGGATTCAACAGACTTGTTGTGGCGCCTGTAGTCAACAGCAATGCCAATTGTTTGGGCAAAGCGTGAGGTCAGACCAGCACCCTGTCAAAAGATATGAACATTAAAACTTGCTTAGTCCAATGTGAAACTAAGACAAGACAACAAGCCAGTCAAAACAAACTGTATACACAACTGATAAACACAACACAATACAACAGTTTCAAAAATAAAACGGAGCCATTAAACCTCACACTAGAAGACTAGCTCAGGCCAAAACAGTGCTCAAACTCTAAAAATGCACTCTACACAGTTCACTTAAATCAAACATAACCTCGAAAGTCTTAGGTTAGAAAGTAAGTGGATGAAGATTGGGACGCTGGTCTCACCTTGAGCTCGTCCAGAGTGAAACCACGGCCGGCACGGACCTTGGTGTGGTACTTGAAGGAGGGGCAACGCACAATTGGGCGAAGACTACCCTTGGCGGGTCTAGGTGCGACAGCCTTAGCTTTCTTGATGCGGTTCTGTCGCCGACGGAATTTACGGGCGGGCTGGTTAAACCAACATCTGACAAATCGTTGCCAGTCCTTGTGGAAGTGCCCATTCGGGATCATATTATTGCCCTTGCCCATCTTGAAGCTGGAACACAGATTTTTAACAATTAATAATAATCTGAAGAAAATAACATAACCTAAACAGGGAGCATGTTGAAGACACGTCACGCAGCCGGTAAAAGTTCAGGACAAAATCGGGACTAAGGAAATGGTTAAACACATCAAATACAAGACTAGGACATATCTTACAGTTAGAATTTGGCTACGATGGATAATATTTTCAGAGATCAACGGCGGATTGCCGCAGCTTACCCGTAGTGTGGACAACAGCACACCGGAAAAAGACTGCAAAGACTGGGCCGGAGGAAGTAGCCCACTAAAGTCAAAATCGTGTCTCTTCGCTTTCAAACGTTCCAAACTCATCTGTTCATTTATTGTTAAAATATTATGAATTGCTTATTAGGAACCCTAAAAAAATAATATAATAAATTTATTTTTTCAATCAGTTTTTAAATGTAACTCAAAGGTAATGAGACAAAACATATTTTTTTGTTTCCACTTTGACGTCCGTTTTACTTCATGGCAGGGATAGCAGAAAGCCCGTTGCAGAAGTAAATACGCGAGAAATAATCACCTATTTATACTATTTGAAGCAACAGTTTTCGTGTTTAAAGATATGGAGACCGTTTTATGAAATATCTGGTTCAGTTTTGATTCATTAAAGACAGTTGTCAATTTGCAACTGAGAATTTAGTCTTGATAAGATTAACGCGTGTTGTTGGCTGCACCCCGGCTAATCTCTTATTTTGTTTTCTTTGTCGTTTTTACGTGACGATCGCAACATCAAGCGACATTCGTGATTGGGGAGCATTGAGGAGTGGTACGAAGTCGATGGTACGTTACGTTTCGGAATGCTCTCAGATAATCATTGCCATAGCGCTTTTTAAATTCGTTTTCTTCTCCCAACAGTTGGGGAAAATGTTTCAGGGGCAGACAGACTCTGTGCCTTCCCCTGCTCAACCAACAGGTGTCCTATCAGAGGCCTTGGAGGTCCTTCCTAAGCCTAACAGTGACAGACAGGTGGGACAGAGTGACAGCATTTCAAAAATTTCTTCGCCACAACTGAGCAGGAACACAGTTGTAACAGATGCCGTTCCCTCACCAGCCCGGCCTAGGGAGACTGTTAATACAGAATTGGAACAGAAGATACAGACAGAACAGAATTTGAAATCTCCTCTTAAATCTCCACCAAAATCCCCACCTAAATCTCCAGCAAAAACTGAATCACCAAATGACAATAGTGACCAAAATGAGCCCAAGCGAAGTTCGGGATTTAGTTCACGACGTCCACACCATAGGTCCAAAGCCAGCAATGAACCAAGATCAAAAACTGTTATCAGCAGTAAGTTTTCAATATTTCTAAATCAAATAAAAGCCTAAAAATGTTGCTTTATCGTCATCTGCTCCTTTTATAGTCGTGGGTGGTACAAATTTCACCATTGGACCCACATATCACCAGTACCAGTATATTGTCCGAGGCAATAATAATCAATATGAAGAAGGCATACACCTAAGAAAGATGGAGAGCCGTAAGAAAGAGTACAATAGTAAGTATTATGTCAGGAGCTCTTAATTATTTTTGTTAGATGTGGCAATATCTTTTTATTGTTCTTCAATCTCAGAACTCCTGTCAAGCCAAGATGAACTACTTGAAGAGGATATAATAATAGTATCTGAAAGTCTAGATGATAGAGGTTTGCGTTCTCTATTGAGAGAACTTCCACTGGATGAACAAGAGGCTGACCTAATTGAGAGAGAATTTGGATGTAAAGGTCATTCTGAGGTAATTCTATGCTCAAAATAAGATTAAAGAATACAATTTTCAATGAGACTAATTAATTGATTTTATGTTATTTTCTTAGATTATTTTCCAGATTCTCTCACGGTGGAAGTGCCTGATGTCAGAGGAGGGTCAAAAACCAAGACTCGGATCGTTTAGTTCGAAGTTATTGCCTGAAGACGTGTACCGAAATGGAGGGAAAAAGGCTTTGAAAGGACTACGTCACCTCCATTCTTCAAACGACTGAGGTTTCCCCCTTTCTCTTCCTTAAAGAATTGCTGTTTAGCTGTAAGATCTTAAGGTAGGATAAGATAAAACTTGTTTTTTATATCAATAGCTTTGAATCTTACAGTCCCAACCCTAGACTAGATTTAAGCAGTAGACATATGTCAAGGGACAAAAATATTTTATTGGTTTAAGGAAACTTGTGTGTTGAAACCAACAAGTTGTGCATGAGTGGTAACACCAGGTAAATAACATGATCTATAACTAAGCTACCTTCATATTGATTCAGTATTGGTTACAATTCTGGAAATAAAAGTAAAGGTTATCACAGATCTCAATGACAGTATTGACTCTCAATCACACCATCCGATTAAATATTTAAGCTTCATAAGTAAAATCAGCTTCTTAAATAAAACATACAACAGAGAATTGATTGACTGACTTGATTCAAATATTGTTCAGAACTTGTTAACAAATGAGAGAATTTTTCTACACTTGTACAGAGTTGTAGGCAAGACAAATATTGTTTCAGTACTATTATTCTATAATAAAATAAATGCCATAATGTTACACACTGCTATCAATGCTGCAAATATGAAGTGGTAAAAAATTACAAAATACTTCAAAGGAGGAAAAATAAAGGTGAATGAAGATGATACACACACAACACAAATCATGTGAAAACAGCAAAGCCACTATTTCCATTCAAGCAATGAAAATTTTAGAGGTTGACAATTTAGATCCTCAAAATGCAGAAACTTACAGCAATTATTAAGAATTTGTATAAAATACATGGAGTTTCTTAATACTTTTTGGCAATAAGCAGAGATCAGTCTTGAAAATAGACACAGCAAAATACGCTTTAGAGTCAGTAATTTTTCTTACGACATACAATGTTCAATATGTTTCATAAGGGCACAACCAATCCATTATCAAACAAAAAAAAAGGGAAAAAGCACAAAATAGCTGCCTTTTGTCCTTCTTACGACCAAACATTTCATAATTTCTATATTATATTGTCAGATACTCTCGTCACACAATAAATTCCATACAATCTTCATTAGATAAGATTTTGAGTTCAATGTCAATACATTACAGATTAACAACATCAACTAAAATCACAGACTAAAATGAAATTTTATGGGTTACAAACTGAAAGAACCCTTTGGCCAGAGATGAGGGCTTGCTCCAAAAATAAATGGAATTCTTGGACAATGTCCCTCAGAAGTTAAAACTTTGTGGTAACAAGCATACAACAGAAGTCATACATACACTGTCCAAAATGAACAAGGTTTTGCAGTATCTTGAAAAAGAGATACCACAAATACGACTTTGTAAGTCTCCATTACAGCAAAATTCATCATCTTATAAAACTTATATCGGAAGTCATTCATTGGAAACCTTAGAACATCCATCTGGCTTGTCTTCCTGAAAATTTAAGAGCAAGCATGAGTTGGTGCCATCAAGCACAAAAGCAAGAAAACTAGGTTCTAAGTATACCTTATATAAGTGACATATTTCCTTTTGTAGGTTCTTGAGTATTGCTGGCTGATTTTCAGTGCTCTGTAAGTAAAGCATAGACACTGGTAGGATCTTTTTTACAACCATAAAACAAAGAACATTACAGAAATTTTAAAAAAAAACGTACCCCTTGAAGTGCTATAGTTGGAATAAAATTTATATAGCCAATTTTGTCAGTCTTCTTACCATATAGAGCTAAGAGGTTACTACCTTGATTTCCTTTGGCACAAGTCCAAATGCTTTCCCAGTCAATATCATATTTTTTTGCACACTACAAAATATGAGCAAATGGAACAATTAAATTTTAACTCAGTTTATTCCACATTAAGAAATTGACGACAAGTGATCATATGATAAGATAGTAATCATGATAAACTTACACTGGAACCTGCAGATTCCGGATTCCAGTTGTCAGCAATCATACAAGCTGCATATTGAATTCGAGTCTCAGGATTTGAAATAATATTCATTCCACAGGCATGGACCTTGTTAGCCAAGCATTCAGTGGGGCCGTGTTGACATTCAAATTTGTAGCTCTTGCCTGATGGAGTAGTCTGGAAAACAGTACAAAAAGTATGATATTATAGTCATATAAAGATATTGAGTGGAGGTAGCACCATCATAGAGCTCTGCATCAAAATGAGCGCAACAGGTCATGCTTTTTAAATGCACTTTAAGTACATTACTTTTTGTGCGCATTTCAATGAAGAGCACTACTCGGGTATGCACGAGTTCGAGAGAAGAAATGCTCACCTTGGCCTTTCCATATGGAATTAATTGAAGATTCATAGCCTCTGGAATCTTTTCAAATGTTGGCAATAATTGAGTAAGAAGGAAACTTCTTGAGTCTGGACATAATGCTTCGTAATAGACTTCAATCAACACCGGTAGCAAGGTAATGACTGTCGATGACCCATCCTCCGACAACTAGAAAAGAGTAATAGGAAATGAATAGTGATTTGAAAAAAGGAGAATAAAGAGTTGTTTGTTTATCTTATTCGAAATTTGAGGGGGGTTGGTCACTTCAGAAATTGCTTTCTAAGCTTGCAAAGGGGAATTAGAATAATATTTAATGGAGACTTTGGTCTTCTTTACCTCTACCCTTGTCAGTGAAGGGGGTTGTCTGGAATAGAAGATTCGCAAGGTTGTCCAGAAAAAGATAACAGCAAAAATGACAAAGACTAGCCTTTGCCTGAGAACAGAGTTCATTTTGCAATGCATGTTGTAATGTGCATGCAAACACAACCACAAAGGTTAAGCACGTATTGAGTGAAGCTATAGCATCATCTACGCCCAAAGTATGATGCAAAGCTTATCGATAATCCTTGTCATCACTTTAAGGAGGGTTCTTTACTCATTGTTCTAATGATCTCAAGTAAATAAGTACGGTTCAAACAAAAAGATGCCACGGAACGACCATTTTCACAGCAGAAGCCTATCGATCTCACACGACGATCGGTCGAGCAGTCGACTGTGATTCGACTCTAGTTAGAGAGCCTCGATGTGTAATCGACTCAAGAAGCAAAACATTTCAAAAACAACCCACCACTCATGTGCCGGTGAACCAGTGATTTTTGCAGATTTAAGCGCATTTGTGAGTGGTTGGGGGCTTGAAAATGGATTCATCCAAAGAAAATAAAAATCCTAATGGGACTGAACGTGTTGGAGACAATATTTTGAATACTATTGTGTCACGAAATCCGGAAAGCTCGAAGGTAACAACCTCACTCATGTTTTAACTTGTCGACGGTCTGTTTCGTTCATTTTTGTTCATTTTCAAAGAGTATTGGACTAACGAGCTTTTTCTTTCAAAGCCACCTGATATCCACGACTTCACTATCATCAAAGGAATTAGCAGAGGAGCTTTTGGGTAACTTTTTTGAGTGAATGTGTTTTCGTCATATTTGTTGTTAGTTAAAATTAATACCAGTCAGGTTCTTTCACTTAAACATTATTCTGTAAGTCTTTTCCTTTTATAGTGAAAGTTTACTCTCTGTCCATGTTAGTTTGGTGGAGTAGCAGTAATTTCTAACACCCTTCGATAATTTGTCAACTTTTTATGTTGCTGTGTAAAGTTCCTGTTTATCAATGATCATTTATCCTCTCATCTCTTTTCCATCCGACAGAAAAGTTTATTTGGGTTGCAAGAAAACCAATCCAGATCAGCTCTTTGCTATAAAAGTTATGAAAAAATCAGAAATGATCCACAAAAACATGGCTAGCCAAGGTATTTTCTTATGGTTTAACAGTTTTGAGAAATGTTCATGTGTTCTATGGCAATTCTTTGACAGTGGTTTTTATTCACAATCCTCTATTATTTTCTCTCCCAGTTGTGACGGAACGAAATGCCCTAGCTTTATCGAAAAGTCCATTTTGCGTTCAACTTTTTTATTCTCTTCAGACAACCTCTAATATATACTTGGTAAGCATATTTTGTCCTTTACTCCACCTTTTACTCATCTTTAAATTTGTACTTCAATGATTTCATTTTAATCTTATGATAGGTGATGGAATACATGGTGGGTGGAGACCTGAAATCACTCCTTAGTGTGTATGGCTACTTTGAAGAGCCAATGGCAGTATTTTACATTTCAGAGGTTGTCCTAGCACTTCAGTACCTTCACAGGTGAATACCCACTAACTAATACATTTATGATTATGTTACCTTCATTTTGAACATGACCTGATTTGTCTGTTTCAGTCATGGAATAATTCACAGAGACTTAAAACCAGATAATTTATTGTTATCGCGTCAAGGTCATGTGAAACTCACAGACTTTGGACTCAGCCGTATTGATGTAAACAGAGGTATGCTATTCAATTAATTTATTTTTTTCACAATTTCAAAACTATAGATATTTGTTTTGGTTGCAACTCAAGTTTATATTTATCAATGACTTTTGAGAGTCTGCTAAAACTAAAGGCTTTTTTATCTTCTTACAAGACTTAGAAGCATCTGACTTGGTCAAAGGAACTCCCAGTGCTTTACTACGTACTCCCGGTCAGATCTTATCTCTCACTTCACACCTTTGCTTTGTAAGTGTTTGTTATTTTATTGACAGAAAAGTTCACAGGGTGCCCACTTGTGGACAGCCATCGGCACATTTATCTTTATTTAAGGTGTTCTGCTATTTTGTTGAATTTTTTCTTTGGATTCTAGCTGTGCATTTTTATTTGTTGTGTTCAAGGGCTCTGAGAATGGTTCTATACTCAGTGGAAACTCAAGCAGATTGTCTATCACCTCTCCTGACGCCTCGGGGGTCTCAATTCATGAGACTGAGGCAAACACAACAGCATACAGTGAGTTCATCAATTCACATCTGTATTTTGAGAACTCACTCGAAAACAGAAACAATGGGGTATCTATACTCTAACAATTTTAAGTGAGGAAATCTTTGTTTGCAGATGGGCGGAACAGTGTGAAAATCATGCTTGGTTTTGATACTGAGGGACAAGATTCTCTCAGTGAGACAAAATTGCATAAACCATCCCACATGGATTCAAACATCACTACTTCACCAACTATGGATCACACAGGTCTGACTGAACCTTCATTCATCCAGTTTATTCATCAGGTTCTGTGTTTCTCCAAAGTTGTCCGTTTTCTTTTTCTACTGCAGCTGCTACGGTTGTCAACAGAACTGAAAATGACAGTCATATATCAGGAATAGCTGCATTTCATTCTGCTGACCATAGTTTCAACCTAAAAGCCGTTTGCTCCGAAAGAGGTCATCAAGTGACTCTTAATGAAAGTGATGACAATGTTAATGATGCAAATGGAAGTTTCCTTGGAAGCAGTTACAATGGGAGTGGGGCCCGTAAAAGAATCCGAGAAGAAACTGACTCTGAGGATGACATATCCTCTAGTCTGTCATACCACACATGCTGTAGTAGTGGTGCTGATTCATCTAGTATAAACCATAGTGCTGGAATGAATTCAAGATGTGGTGTATGCCTGTGTAGGTTCATTTGCTGTTTCGAATTTAAATTTTATCTTATCAAAAAACTTCTGCTTTGTCACTCTAATTTTCCTTTTTCTTATGTAACTTCAGCTAAAGATATGTCAACCGGCAGTAATCAGCTGTCCAGGTCAAGCCTTGTAGTATCACCTACAACAAGATCTCCCCAACATGTTCTTCCAAGGCCGTGTTGTCTCCTGGGTAGAAGGAAACGTAAACGTTTGCCTGGATTATCAGGAGACGACCGCCTGTACTCTTTATCAGATCCAGTTCATACTGGCTTAACACAGGAGATCACATCTTTAAATATCCTCCCAGAACAGCCTCAGGACCGAATATCGTCCCCTCCCCCAGAAGTCAATGGTGTTTGCAAGGAAGAAAGGCAAAAGCCAGAGGGTGCGTCTGTTAAAAGAGCTGTTGTCAGTCCTCTTAAAGGCGTTCTGAAAGTGAGGTTGGTGATTATTGTTTAATTGCATGTGTTTACTGTCAACAATCTACAATTTAAAGAAAATATATCTATATTTTTAACTTGTTAGGTCCTTGTCTGATGAAGATCTACGATGGGCTGGTGTTGCTGACAAAACTGGGGCTGGTGTCATGTTCTCAACACCTGTGGCTATGCGGAAGCCTCACTGCAATTCTGATTCTTCAAAACCTGCCAAAATTACTCGCTTTGAATTGCCCCCTCTTCCTGAGAAGAAACCAACAGCCTTAGTTGTTGATATTCATTCCAATGGGCATATTATTGTGGTAATATAGTTTTCCAAATGAAACTGTTGTGGTAAAAAGCGAACTGTTGCCAAAACTTCTTTACGTCTATGTTCCTTTATAGGAAGATGCTATTTTAAGCCCAATTGCAACAACACCTTTTACTACTCCTTTTTCGTCTCAACAAACGCCATTCAGAACTCCCAAGTCTGTTCGACGAGGAAAAGCAGCCAGTGATCAACGCATTCTTGGTACTCCAGATTATCTCGCACCAGAGCTGTTACTACGGCAAAATCATGGTGAGAAATTCAATTTGTTTGGGTGCAAAACTTCCCCCAGGCTGATCTTATATCTATATAAATTTGCTTGTCCAGGTTCAGGTGTGGACTGGTGGGCTCTAGGCGTGTGCCTTTATGAATTTATGACTGGCATTCCACCATTTAATGATGAAACTCCTAATGCTGTGTTCCAAAACATTCTGAACAGAGGTGAGTAATTGCATGCCTCAGACTACTTGCACTTTCCTCGAATGCTTTAAATGTCATTGTGTTACAGATATTCCATGGCCTGAAGGAGAGGAACATTTGTCCAGTGAGGCTGTTTCTGCAATTGAATCTATATTGACAGTAGATCCAAGCTTAAGGCCCAATGGAGCTGATGTCCGAAAAATGTCTCTCTTTCAAAACATTGATTGGGAGAATTTGCTGCACAAAGAGCCTCCCTTTGTACCCCAGCCAGACAGCAGCACTGATACCTGTTACTTTCAGGGTAAGAATTGAAGCCAGCAACATTGGATTTACATTCATTAAAATTCTAAATAATCTCCTCTTATATTTTTCTTCTGTTTGTTTTTGTAGCTCGAAATATTTTGCAGCACTTAAATGTATCCAGCTTTGGTTGTGGAGAAGAGAATTGGACCCCCAACATTCTTGAATAGAATTTGTTGATATATTTTTTCTGTAATACTAAATGCTAAGCATTGCTGTCAATTCCCATTAGTCCGGATTTACTTGTTATCTGTATCCTACATGTTGAGGATGTAATTCTCTTTACCTATGTGATAGGTACCTATAACAAAGCAATGTCTTGCCAGTCTCAGTCTCACTAAATGCTGAGTCCTCTCTGCTGTTGCAGATTTGAAGTTACCATGCCTGTAAATGTTTTTTGATTTAAGGAGGCCCACATGAAGTCTCTTTGTCTTGATAGTTGACTTTAAGAATTTATTTTAGTTGCATTACATTGGCATGATATGAAAAAAAGTTTTCAATAGCTTTTAAGAAAAACTTGGGAACTTATCATTGATTTATTGAAATCATTGATTCAGCTGGAATAAGGCCATTTTGTTCTCTGTCCTTATGATGCGGTTGTTGCAGCAACTCAATGAAGTTTCTTGTTTGCTTTACTGTTGTTGGCCACTGTTATGTATCTTGTAATATGTATTTTATTTATATTTAATCTGTAATTTTCATGTAACTGGCAATCATCTCATCTGACTCATGAAATTTAGATGTCAGTCTTCTTTCAAGTACCTCAAATCAACTCTAACATATATTTTCATACCATCTAGAGTTTCTTCTCCAAGACCATTCATGGATTGTTCACTGAGCTCTATGTATCAAGTCTGTGTATTGTTATTTATTATATCCTATCTTATAATTATTGTAATTATTTTCATGAAAGAGATTTCAGAAATGTTTGTATGTGCATTCTGTATTTTGTGGAGGGCAAATGAGAAATCTCAATTCGTATACTTTTATGCATTTTTATTTTAATAATAAATATCATACAGAGGAATTGCAAAAGTGCAACCCTCTCTCCCTCTCTCTTGGGCTCAATAATTTCAACATTATTGGTCTTTTTTAATGCTTTGTTTACATAGTACGTACAGATTTCAAATTATTTTTTTCTTCTAGTAAAATCATGAACATAGAGAGCTCGATCAGATGGAATGTTTTGATTCTTCTAATTGTCTGGCTGTGACACATTGAATGTAACTTCCACATTGTAACATGGACCACACATATTTATTGCAAGACCCTCTGGTCAGCTTTGTACTCGCACTTCATAAGGTGATAAATTACAAGATTGTATTGGAGGTAATTCATCTCAATAAATTAACTTGTGAACTCATTGTTGTGTTCTTAAATAAGACATAAAATAATTTCCCCCTCTCCCAACTTATCTGAAGCAATTGCCATCGCATATCACATATCATTTATTGTATCTTCGGGATGTACATTCATCCAGAATGCAATCTTGAAGATCAAACTATTGCTGTCATTTATATCACTCAATCGCAACCAAGAAATTTTTGTGACACCTAGCTCCTCAGTTGTTCACTTGACAGCTGCACAAGCCTTTGTTGTCTCCAACTGTAACTTATCCACATAAACTACACTGGAAAAACATTTGAAAAAAAATTGTTTTGACAGATGTAGGTTTCAGATCTTAACAAGTTAAAAATTACTATACTACCTCATTAAATATTTAAAAGCTTAGTAAAAATTTGAGCCTTTTGTTTCCCAAGCTTGTTTTCTGTTGTTTTTTTTTTTTTTAATGCATATGTCTGTTTCTGAATTCAAATCAATTCCCAATTACAGACCTCGAAACACCATGTGAAGAAACCATGGCTAGTCTTGACTCATTGGCAAGAACTACTTGATAGATGGCACTTTCACCGGGCGCTTACGATTAAGCTGACGCACGTCACATCCACAGAGCAGATCCAGGTAGGGCTCGGCACACTCCGCCAAGCAGGGTCCCCAACTTGACACCAAACAAACTAGCTTGGCGCACAAGTAGTTCGAATATCACAACATCGCCCGTCCGCGCGTCCCCCATTCCATCGATGTCGATGTCGCACGCGGCGGGACACTTGCAGTCTGTCGTCTTGGCGGCCACGGCCACGCCGGCGGACTACTTGAGGTTCTTCTGGATCCAGGGCATGAAGCTGGTCACCCGGGAGTACACGCCGGGGTACTGGCCCTTGCCGCAGCCGATGCCCCAGCTCACGATGCCGACCTGGACCCACCGGCCGTCGTTGACCATCAGAGGGCCGCCGCTGTCGCCCTGGAGGAGAAGGAGGCAACGCGTCAGAGAGTGGGACTTCCCCGTAGGCCGGCAACACACTGCCGTGCCATTCAGAAGACTCGATTCATTGCTCTGTCTCTGTCACACTCATGGAGTGCGAGAGAGGGCGATACTCACGCTGCAGGAGTCCCTGCTGGCCTGGCCCGCGCACAGGAAGGTGTCCACGATGCCGCCGGGGGCAGCGTTGCCGTACTTTTGGCGGCACTCGGCGTTGGTCCACACGGGGATGTTGACCTCCTGCAGGACGGCGGGCTGGGGGCCGCCTGAGACAGGGAGACAGGCGAAGCAGGAACGTTAGTCACGCTGATTCGGGATCGGTCGTCCATGTCAGGAAAATTCCGCGCCCCTCGACCCGACAGCACGCCGACAGCAGACAAGGAGAAGAGGCTGGACTTACTCTCTCGCAGGCTGCCCCAGCCGATGACGGTGGCCGTCTTGCCAGCGTAGGCCGCGCTGCCGCTGGGCATGCAGATGGGCCTGATGTCCCTCCGGAACTGCACTGGCGAGTCCAGCGTCAGGATGGCCACGTCGTTGTACTGCAACAGGGGCACAGGGGCACGCGGTAAAGGTACACTGTAGTGGATCACGACGGGACGGGGTGAGACAGCGAACCCCACGCCTCACGCTTACCAGTGTCCTGGAGTCGAAGCCGCGGTGCCTGACGACGCGCCGGACCTTCTTCTCGATGTGCTTGGTCTCCGAGTTGGTCCGGATGTTGTGGTCACCGAGGCGCACCGTGAGCCGCGCCACGTCCCAGGAGCTCATGCTGCAACACGTCCGAGGTCAAGTAGGGCCAAGCGAGCCGTCCTCCCCGCCGCGGCGCGCCGAGGGTACTTACTGCGCGACACAGTGGGCGGCCGAGAGGATGTGCGTTGAGTCGATGAGTGAGCCACCGCAGAACTGCCTGCCGCCGTTGAACAGCGCCGCCTGGAAGACGAGCAAACGTTTAACCGTCAGGGAAACAACTTAACCATCTCGGATCTAGCACCGCCCGTTTCGCCGGCCTTACAATCCAGGGCCACTCGCCGATGTCCGCGTTCTGGCCACCCACGATCCTCTCCTGGTCCTGGTAGCCGTTCTTGGCGCCGCAGCTGGCGTCCATGGGCTCGGGGGCGGGGGTGGGCCCGGGCAGCGGCAGGGCCGTGGCGGGGGGCTTGGTGGTGGGCTTGGGCAGCGGCTTGGCGGTCGGCACCGCGCCGGGCCACGGCGACAGCGTGCTCACGGGCTTCATGGTGGTGGCGGGAGGGTGCGTGGGCAGCGGGGGCGGCCAGTTCGGCGGGATGGCGGGCTGCGACGGCGGCGGCTGCACCACCACGGGCTGCACTTCCAGCGGCGGCCTGGGCCGCCTGGTCGTCGTGGTGGGGGCCTCTGTGGTGGCGGCGGGCGGCTTGCTGGTGGGCACGCCCAGCGACGGCGGGTGCGTCGGCAGCGGGGGGTGGGTCAGCATTTCCGGCGGGTGGGTGGGCACCTCTGGCGGCCACACGGCCGGCACGGGGTTGCCGATGCTGGGGGTGTCCGGCTCGGGGGCCTGCTGCACGGGCATCACGGGCACCACGGGCACGGGCTGGGGCCGCTGCGGCTGCTGCGGCTCGATGGGCGCCACGGGGATCAGTCCTGGTGTCGACACGGCGCCAGGCGGCCTCGTCTGGGGCTCCGTGCAGCACACGCCGAACATCTGCAACGAGCATCGCGCCGAGTTAGGAGAGGCCACCCCACTGGAAGCCAGCGAGCCCGGCCGCGCGGAGCGGAGCGGAGCGCTGGGAGCGCCTGCGAGGTAGGCAGCCAGCACGCACCCGTGCGTCGCAGCGCGCTCGGTTGCCTACCCCGCCATTACCATTACCATTACGGGCTAGACCACAACTACCATTACCATTACGGCCTTGCTGAGCCAGCGCAGATGCAAGAATTCACTTGGCACTGACCTGTCTGCCGGTGTCGCCGAAGTAGCTGCACGTGTCGAACACGCCCAGCACCCAGGTCTCCCACGTGGAGAAGTCGGGCAGCTTGAAGAAGGGGTAGCAGGCGCGGAAGCTGGTGCACTGGCCCAGGCGGCCCTGCGTGGAGAAGCAGGGCCCCGCGGGCAGCACCCCGGGCCACGCCTGCCGCGCGCCTCGCGCGGACGCTGCAACACAGTGGACGAGGACGCCGTCAGTCCCAGGACGCCGCCCGGAGGCCTGAATCACCCGGCAAGGCGCCGGCGCACGCGGCAGGAGGCTGGGATGCATTGGCGGGGCGGGGCGCGGTCCCCGGGACCAAGCAGGGGGTCAACAACTTGACTGTTGCGTTTCATCAGACACTGACATTGCCCTTCCCCCTTCCCCCCTCCGCCTCCCCGGCGCGGCGAGCTCGCCCTGCTCGCCTTGCTCGCCCGGCAGCTTGCTTGCGGCAGGTCCTCCACCTCTTCGAGTCTTTGTGTGCTCTTCGCTCTTCGCTCTTCCACCTTCTCTTTCTTGGACGGCCGTTGCCCTCCGAGGAGCGGCGCGGCGTCAGGCTCCGCGGCCGGGGGGGGGGGGGGGGGGGGGGGCACGCCTGACGTATCGCGAGCGCTGGGGCCGTACGGCTGGGTCGGGTCGGACCACGCCGGGCCGAGTGGGCCGAGTGGTACAGCCTCCGCCTCAGCCGCACGGCGCTAACGCTTACGCTAACGGCCGCCATGGACCCGGCATGGGATCGCGTGCAAATAGAGCAACCGAGCGATTCCGAAGGTTCGTTTGGTCGCTCTGTCTCTCACGCACTTCTTCGGGACGCCCCATGAGAGCGACAGAGACGGGGCGACGATGCGACTCTCGGGAATCGGCCTGCAGAGAGGCGTTTATCGGATACGCAGAAGCAGTGTAGCAGCGAAGCAGCGACCGAGGCGAAGAGGCGGCATGCCAGCGCCCATCCGTGGCTTCAGTGCGGAAAAGAAATGGCAATCAGGGCTGCCAATAAACGGCAGACTGGGGAAAAAATCGCGAGAACCGCCCAGCCACTTTGTCCCGTTCTCGTCGCCCCGGCCGGCAGGCTAACTAATGCCTTGTCAACGCCGCGCCGCGGTGCCGCGGTCGACGGGGCCCCTCGTTTTGAGCGTGGGTGCGTTCCGGGCGCGGCGCTGCGTCGGCCCGCGAGTGCGTTCCTTTCGTCCGCGCTTTGTACGCGGTCGCGGCCCCGTGTCCAACGCGCATTAGCAGCGCGAATAAGCAACGCGAGGTGGAGGTGCGCGAGGTGCGCGAGAAGGCGTGGCCGCCTTGCACAGCGCGTCCCAACCGACCCAACCCCTAACCCAAACCAGACCAACCTAACCTAACCTTCGCAACAGAAAGACACACTTGCACGAGGCCTCCAGGAATGTGCGGCGCGGCGGTCCGCGGCCCCCAGACGCCGCCGCCACGCCGCCGCCACGCGACCGGGGCGGGGCCGGTGGGGGAGGGGGCGGGGCTGTTCTTAGTGGGGTTCTCGTTTGGGGGCGGCTGACGGCGTGGCTCGCGGCGTGGCCGGCCGGCCGGCCGGCCGAGAGAAAGTCCGTTCGTTTTTTCCCTTCCCTTTTCATTTTGCACTCGGAATGGGGACGGCCGGCGTGCCAGCCAATGCCAGTGTATCGGATCAAGAGCGGCGCGAAAACGGCGCGCCAACTGGTTAGGTGGCCTGGCCTGGCATCGCCTGCCGCACTGCCGCACTGCCGTCTGCAGACGACAACAGTGGAAACGGATTTGGTCATCGGCAAACATCCTCATCTTTCTTTCTCTGCACTGCAGATATTTTTTTGCGCGCGGGCTCGCGCCGCGCATTTTTATCTGGTAGTAAAACTGAGTCGGCGGCGTGCCGACTGCCAAACAGTGTGCAGTCTTCGTCATGTCTTTGTTCACCCTCGCTGTAAGCATTCCTGCACACGCCGTGCCTGCCGTGCCTCGACGGCTGGATGGATATCATCTGGGCTGGGCCTGGCTGGCCTGGCTAGTGGGCTGGCCCCGCCGGGCCCCGCGCCATGTCGGCAAGCAGGGAAGTCCCATTTAGATTTCGCCAAGACGATCGGCCGCTCGTTCCTGGGTTCAAAACACACCGCGCCGGTCTCGTGAAAGCTTTTCCCCCTCCCTGTTTTTTTGCCTTGTTTGTCTGTCGCGAGGGTTTTTGTCATGGAGAGTGGGTGGATGTTGGGACGCCTGCCCCAAGCCTGCCCGGCGGCCGGGCCCAGGCCGGGCCGGGTCGCACCCTTTAGAGTCCGCGACTGGTTCGACGGGTCCCCGCTGGCGAGGCCAGGCGAGGCCGTCCCGAGCCGTCCGCCGTTCCCGACCCGACCTAACGGTGGTTTGACCCAGGTCGCTGCCAAAAAGGCACATTAGCACGTCTCGTCTCGCAGCACGCCGAGTACGCCACGGCCTCGGCCTCCACGCCGCCACGCCGCCCTGTGTTGTGTTGTGGCCGCGCAGGCCGCCGCGGCGGAGTGGAGGCAGCGCGGTGGTGGCGGCGCCAGGACGCAGTGAAGCGGCGACGCGGCGACGCGCGAGGAGAGGGGACTCGGACTCACGCCCCTGACATTGACCGCTATCCGGTTCAGCCTTCGCAGCCTTCATCCGCGCGCCCCTCCTGCGTCGTCGCCCTGCCGCCCTGCCGCCGCCGCTCGACTTGACAAGTCGCTCGGATCCAAACCGCGCCAGCAGGCCGCCAGGCGCACACGGCATATCGTAATGGAATCTCAATCGCCGGCGCCCTGGCGGCGCCCAGGCGCGGTGGCCGCGGCCGAGGGCGTCCGGACAGTCCGGACAGTCCGGGGCGAGAGTCGTCTCCGATTGCCAATTCTCACGGGGAAAGCATCGCGTTGACGGCGGGCGGTGCGGGCGGTGCGGGCGGCCGCCACTAAGCGGCTTAGCGATGACCGCACGATAAGAGGCATGTAATCTCATTAACCTGGAGGGGCGCCAGCGCCTGCCGCGCGAGTCCACATGGACTCTTTCGTCGCTCTGCCTCTGTCCCACCCCTACGCTACGCCCCATTGGTGCGACAGAGACAGAGTCATTCGGAGTCGCTCGGCACACCTCGCACACCTTTCGGCCGTTCGCGGAGACGCCAACGCCCGCGCGTTCCTCGCTGTCCTCCCCCTCGGGGGCCTTGGGGGAGAGGGAAGGCCCAATGTCGTCCTTGCGCGGCACTGCAAGGACACTGCAAGGGCATTGCGCACTCGACGAGTCGCGAAGGACGGAGAGCGAAAGTACACCGTCGGAAAAGTGGCGGTCAAACGAAATGAAGAACTAGCGCTCGCAGGGCCATCTTGTTGGCGGGACCGTTTAGCACTGGGAGTCGCGCGCACACTATCGCGCCGAGGGGGAATGTTAGTTTGCACGTACGGTACTTTCGGCCGGTTTGTTTGTGGGACCAACAACAACAACATGATCAACAACAGAAACTTCGACAACAATTTGGTCCTTGTTTTCGCCTTGCCAACCCCCATCAGGGCGGGCATGAGGACTAAGTCGGGCGCGTGGTCCCGGACACGTCCTGCGTATACATCCAAGTACATCCTGTTGTGTGGCGCGGCGGCCGGGGCATCGACGTGAGGCCCGCCAGTCCCGCCACCGTGACAGTGAGTCATCGGCATGAATACAAATCCACGCGCGGCGCGCCGCTTTCGCTGATTAGTGTACTATTGGTTGGCCACCCTGCCGGCCACCACTTGACGTTTCCTCAAAAACAGAGCGCGGTGATTGTTATAAACACCGCCTGCCTGAAGACTTTGAACCAAAACATTCAATGCATCTTCGCTCCTGTCGCTGTTGCGCGATGGTCTTTCAGGAGGGGTTCGTCGCTGGGAGCGGCCCGCACCGCTACGCACTGCTTGGCCTCCTCGGGGCGCGGCTGCTCGGCTGGGCGGCCCACGCACGCACGCACTCCGGCCACTCACCCGCCGACTCGATGACCACCGCGTCGTCCGTCAACCAGGTGAAGGGGTCGTCGTCGGCCACCTTGTTGCTCTCCACCATCTTGTCGGCGGCCAGCGCGCTGGGCGGGCGCGCCAGCAGGGCCAGGGCGGCCACCAGGGTCGCCGTCAGCAGCATGCCGGCCTCGTTGGGGACACCAGCCACGCGGGCCTCGCACGGGGACACCGAACTTGGGGTGGCCGCGTCGCCGCGCCGGGAACCGGGAACCGGAAACCGGAAGCTGGGACGGAGAACGGAAGGCGAGCCGGGCGGACGAAGACGAAGGCGCGAATCGCGGCCGCGCTCTCAGCCGCTCAGCACCGGTATGCCGAATGCCGGGCGACGCCGGGCGATGGCACTGTGTTGGCGAGGTTAAGGACTGGACGCGACTGCCAGCGCCTTCTGCCAAGCTTGGCACGCCACTCGGGCACCGCGACCACCGCGACCACCGCGACCCAGGGGGAGGGGGGAGGGGCGTGGGGCGCGAGCGGCGCGGCGGGAGACAGAGTGGGGCAGAACGCAGTGTCCGGGTAGGGTACGGAGTACGGAGGGGTGCTGGGGGCGGCTGGGCTCATCTGCTTCTAGTTCGTTGATTTTCGCGCGGGTTTCGTACACGGGTGCACTCTACAGTTCCAAAGAAGGCCAGGGAAAAAATTGGCGTCCACCAAACAGGCTGTCACAGCGACAGCTAATTTCATCGATTGCAACTCGAATGAATGTTGTTTCCAGCGCCCCGAGCGGGTGGGGGATGACCGCCAGATCCGAGGTACACGTTCGGGGTGGCGCGGCCGAGGCCTGGCGCCACAGCTTCAGGTCAGATCGCCAGATCACCGGATCGCCGGATCGCCGCGGCACAGCGGGACACCGTTAGATCGAGAGTCGCCTGCCGACTACTGCTCCATTTTTCGCAAGTCCAGTGCGCCAAGGTTCGCGAGAGAAAGAGAGAGAGAAAAAAAGATGGCGAAGACGAGAAGGGGACCAAGAGCGGGACGGAGCGAGGCGGCGTCGGGTGTGTGTGTGTGTGTCTTGGTGTGTCTGTGAGCTCGTGTGTGTGTGTGTGTGATACGATGCGCAAAACACGTTTAATTAATTCGGCGAAATCTGGTTTTGGGGCGCGTCACAAAGAGTGTCCGTCCGTCTTAGCAAAGCAGGCGGTGAGTCGGACCGGGCGGGGCGGGGCGGGCGGGGCGGGGCGGGGCGGGGGGGGCGGGGCGGGGCGGGGCGGGGCGGGGCGGGGCGGGGCGGGAGGGAGCAAGGGGGCACTCGGGAGCACGGACCTCTCCCGACTCCAAGCAGTCCAACTCGGCCCACCCCTGACACCGTGGGCGCGCGGACGGAGGGACTTGGTCGCCGATCTCAGTCGATCCTGCCGCAGGCCGCAGAGGCCATGTCCGCCTCCAGTGCCGAAGGCCACCACTCCTTGAGCGTCCCCTGGACTCTTCCAGTGCCAGCGCACGCCTGAACACCCCCAAGACACTTCCAGGCTGGAGCGCAGTGCCATGCGCAGTGCTGGTCGCGGACTCGTGCGCCACCGGCGTTGAGGTCTCCGCCCGACTCGCCGCCCCGCCCAGCTCGCCGCCCGTTGGCGCGGTGGCTGCGATTTTGATGTCTGCCTATTAATCCAGCCCGTGACGCCGTGACTCACTAGGCCGGCGCTCATGCCGCGCATGGCGAGGAACGTGTCCGCCTGTCCGCCCAGGGACAAGGGGCCGCGAGGGGCCGAGAGGGGCCCCTCCTGGAACCGGCGCGAACCTCGCCGAATTTCGTTTCGCGTGTTGTTTGCATATGTCTCGCCTCGCGGCCCCTCGGGGGGCAGGGCTGGGTAGTTTGAGGTGAAAGTTTACGATCGCCACGGACCGAGCGATGCCGAAGGAAGGTGTCGTCGCGCCGTCTCTCTCGCACTCGTGGGGCGCCCCGTGGGGGTGCGACAGAGACGGGACTGCTCGGCAAACTTGAGCAGACTGACTGAGAAACTGCTCCGCCGGCCTGGAGCTCCGAGACGCAGCTCGCGTGTCCCCTCCCTCCACCACCTCCACCGCGTCGCGAGGCGCGAGTCACAGCGTCGCAGCGCCGCGGCCACCCCGCCCACCTGCTGCCAAACAATGCCCGCCCCGCCGCCCCGCCGCCCTGCCGCGCGCCCAAACGACGCTAATGGCACGCCGTCTGCTGCCTCGACCTGTCTCTCTCGCACCCCCACGGAGCACCCTATGTGTGAGAGAGAGACGAGCCGGGTCTTCGGAATGGCTCGGTTGGCCGTCGCCGTCGGTAAGTGATTGGGCAGGGCGTGTGCACCGCGTGGCGGCATTTCGCGAGTGACGGTCTTTGGCCGCTCTTGGCGCGGAGGTTCCTTTCCGGCAGCACACTGGAAGCTGAAGGGCGGAGGCGGGCCGAGGGAAGCACCGGCCTGCTGCCTGCGGTGGGTGGAGCGGAAGAAACCTCGCCGCGGGTCGAAGGTGTCGAAGGGAGCGTTTCCCATCTGCCCCAGTTCCCCGCGGAGAGAGAGACGGCGAGAAAGCACTGTTCGGAATGAGCCTACAGCACGCGCGCGTTGCGGCCCAATGTGTCAATCCGGCACCCACCGCAGCGCAGCCAGCGCAGCGCATCGCCACGGCAGGTTTTCCCTGGACGGCGTGGCGTGGCGGGCGTGGCGTGGCCGCCGCGTCGAAGGGGGTTGTGGTCCAGCCCTGTCCAGCCCCTCGCGGCTCGCCCAGGCGAAAGCAGTGGGTCCCAGACCGCCCCCGCCCCGCCGCGCCCCGCCCTGTCCCCACACTGCTCACACTCACTGCAATTTCCCCTCCACGGCGTGATTCCGAGAACAGCGAGTTGATTCATTGGGCACACGACGCACACGACGTCTCTGGACGTCTCTCCTCGCCTGTCCGCTGGCAGCCCGCGGGCCGCCCGCCGCCGCCGCCGCCGTCGCTTCCAAACATCACGCCAGGCGAAATTCATTGCGAAGAGAAAATTGTTGTGGGGAAAAACGCGCATCCTTCGGCTTGGAAATGTTTTCCGTTTATTGCATCACGTCCAAATGCCGTCCAAAGGCAACTGGAGGCTGGTGCGAGCAACGCCCTGTGATCATGCGGTCTTGTGGCAGACTGTACCGCAGACATTCCAAATCGCGAAAATAATCCCACACCGCTAATCACGGAGGCACGCAGCACAGCACGCAGCACAGCACGCAGCACAGCACGCAGCCGAAACCCGTATTACATTGGGCCGGTCGGAGTCAACAAATACGTATTAAAATGAAAATCCGAATGCGGCTCGGACTCTTTTTCCCGTGCCGAAGCATCGAGGGGAGTTTGAGGCGCCTTATTCTAAACCGCGGGAGGGGAGGTACAGTTATGACCCTGTTCTGCAGGCTGGATGGCTTGCTGGATGGTATCCTTTGGTTTATACACAGGATAGGTGGGGGCAGGGGGACTCGAAACTGGTCCCCAGAAAACATTACAAACCGAGCTGAAGCTTCATGAGTTGAGGGTTTTTCAGAGAACGCCCCGCCTGGAGCGTCCGCTGCCCGCTGCCCGCCCGGACCTCCGGGCTCTCGAGCAAAACGGGTAAACGCCAAAGGAATAGGTTCGCGAAATTCCTGTGCTCGTCGCTCACAGGACAGCAAGCCGGCGACACCCCCCCCCCCTTTGGCGTCGCGACGGTAGTTGAAGTTCACGACCAAGTCTACGTCGCTCGGCGTCGCGTCAAGCCACCAGTGTGGGAGGCGTCGCCACTGCCGACAGCCTCTCATCTCCACTGGAGTCTCCAGCGCCCCGGTCTCGCCGGCCTCCAGGCCTCCAGGCCGCTTGGCTCTCCTCTCCAGCCGGTCCAGCTGGCAGCCCGGCAGCTCGGCGGTGGCAGGAGGCAGGCGGCAGGCAGTGGTTCAAGTTCATGACCACGTCCCGGGGCAGGGCGGGGCGCGGCGGGGCGCGGCGTCGGCGTCGGGGCGTTGTCGCGCCGGCAGGCGGGCAGGCGGCAGTGCAGACTGATTCCGAGAGTCGTTTTCGTCGCTCTGTCTCTCTCGCACGTATAAGGAACGCCCCATGAGTGCGAGAGGGACAGAGCGACGAAAACGACTCTCGGAGTCGCTGGCCGACGTATTGGCAAGCGCTCCGCTCGCCCGATCGCTATCTGCCCCTAGCGGTCTGCTGGTCTGCTGTTCCACTCCGATCGAATCCGCGACGCCACGCCATCGCGATGGCCGCCCCGGGCCTCGGGCGAGTCGGTGGTTCGCGACGGCGGCGTCGACGACAATGGCCTTGGCCTTGCGCGGGACGAGCCCCGCGCGACTCATTACCCGCCACATCTTTCGCCGTGTCGACGACGTGGACGTGGGCGGCGAGGGCCCTTCCCTCTCGCCCCTGCCTCCCCTCCGGCCTCCCCTCCGGGCCGCCGAGCCAGCGGAGCACCAAGGAGCACCAGCGGAGCCAGCAGAAAGACAATAATACTGCGCCATAAATACTGTGTTTTAGGAAGCTCGTTCTGGTTCGGACTGTTCGGAGGGGCTCAGGCGGCTTGTCCGCCCCACCTCGCCCCACCCCGCCCTGCTGGAGCGGGTAGGACCGGGGCATGACCAGGGAATGTCCAAAGCCTGCAGGGGCGGTGAGTAAATGGGGACCGGCGGAACGACGCGACACAGCTTGAGTCACTCCTTGTGGCACTTGGCGCCTAGCCTCGGGACTGGGTTCAACCTGCGGTGTGTGTTCATCCGTTTTGCAGACTTTCCTTTGGCTGTCACCTGAACGTGACGTGTCGCGGCGTCCCCACCGCGTTCACGACGAACTCTGTTAGGGCCACGGCCACGGCCACGGCCACGGCCACGGCCACGGCCACGGCCACGGCCACGGCCACGGCCACGTCCCTCAGGAACAGGTTCCAGAACGCGCTGCCGGAGTCTGCGGAGCCAGCTGGAGCGCTTTGCGAGGCTGGACGCTCAGCACGCTGGAAGGCTGGAAGCACGCTGGAGGCGGCGAGGTGCGGAAAAGGGGTCCTGGAGGAGGGGGAGGGGGCGCAAGCGTTCGGTCACCGGCCCCGTCGGAGCCCCTGCGGCCTGCACCGCCTCCCTGCGCCCCGCCGGGCCCAAAGCCCCGAGCCCCGAGCCCCCGCAGCCCGGCCCAGACGAGTCAACAAATTGAGCACGTTTCCCCTGTAACAACCAGCCAGCAACGAGCCCGGCAGCGCGTCTCCGCAGCGTTCAAACGAACACGAACCAAATAATTTGAATAATAATCGGATCAGTTCGTTTGGACAGGCATCCCAATGCCTCCCACTGCTTTTCACATCTTTCTCACATCTTAATGAAATGGGATTAGATTTCTAAACGCGAGTCGTTGGCGTGTGTCTGCTCATCATTATTCTAGCCACCGGGAATAAATGTTGACTGGTAGCGGTGCCTAGGCCTGCCCCCGGGCTGGCTGGCTGACTGGCTGCCTGGCTGGCTGGCTGGCTGGGGCCCACGCACGCGGGGCCTCGTCAGGCGGTCGTCAAACGAGACGCATTGCCGTGCGCGCCGCGCGCCGTGAAGCACGTCGTAACCGAGCACCGAGGGTTATCAGGGGTGGCGCACAGACTAGTTCACCTGGGATGCTGTTCATGACGACGCACACTAGTGTTGATGTGTGTCCTCGGTATGCGTGCTTGCAGGACACGTCAGGTTGAGCTTGCCTGGCCGGGCCGGTCAGTGGCGGGGCGTGGCGTCTCCATGGGTCTAAGCAGCGCGACTGTTGCTTGGTGCGCGGCGCGCCCGCCAGCGCGGCCAATGAGGGGGCATGCGAGTGCGTTGGGTTGCCTGCCTACGCGGCGAAGGCGGCGAAGGCTGACGTCGAGTACGATCTCCTGCGCCCAGCCAGGACAACCGCGCGACGCGTGACGCGCCTGGACTGACCGACGGACGCGTGAAAACATGTTCTGCAACCGATCGGCTCGGCTCGGCAGCCACGGAGCCACTCGACGAGGTCCCATTGTTGCCGCCCTGGCAGCCGCGCAAAATCGAAATGATCAAAATCTAGGCTCTGCGCTGGCGGGGCGGAGTGGAATGGGTAAGTGAGCGGTGGCGACCGGGGGCCGGGAGGTACGTCGGTTTGACACACTGTCGTCCATAGGGCGCTGTCGACCGTCGCCATGACACCAAATCGCGCGGGTAGTTGGGGAAGGAACCTGCGTCCCTACATCCTCGGCGCGCTACAGTACAGTCGCCGCGCGGTCAGGACGCCAGGGCCGACCTGCACCCTGTCTCTCTCGCACTCATTGGGCGTCCCGTAAAGGTGCAAGAGAGACAGAGCGACGAAAAGGACTCTCGGAATGAGTCTTCTGGAAGGGCATGGGGCGAGGGGCCAGGAATAGGCTGCCTCGCTCCGAATGACCGCCGGCCTTCCCTTTCCCTTCCTCCCCTGCGGTCGCCGGTCCTGCCTGCGCGTTTCGCTAACGTCCCCTGATTGGACTGTTTGCTCGGCAGCTGGTGACGCGACCCGGCCAACAAGGAGGAAGACATCCGCGACGTGACGGTCGTGACGCCGCCATGGGGAGGGCCGTCGCCGTGGTCGCCATCACCGTCCGCCCGCTTCCGGGCCCCTGCGGCGGGGGTCCCGACGTCGACGGCGTGCTCGCGGCGTGAGCGCGGTCCTTGAAGCCTCGCGAGGACGACGACGAGCAGCATGGCGGGGTGCACGGCGCTGCTCACGTCCTCGGCGGACAGCCACCTGCCGCCCGCCCTGGGCCCCGCCTTCATGGGCAGTCGCGCCCCCGTGTGGCACGGCTACCGGTCGCTCTACGACAAGGGCAGCCCCCTCGGCGGCGGCCTCTTCTTCCACGACTACCGCAACGAGGCCGTCACCAGGGCCACGGTTAGAGTCATCTTCGTCTCTCTCGCACTCATGGGACGTCCCGTTGGAACAGAGCGACGCCTGGCAGCCCGATGTAAAAGGTCCTTGACGCACCGCGGCAGGGACAGGCCCAGGGACAGGACAGGGACAGCGCGGCGAAAGTGGTGGCGTAAGCGCCTTGCCGCTAGCATGGCCAGCAAAGGTTTTTGCCGGTTGCAAAACGGCGCCCGGTGCACGGTGACGAATCGGGATCGGCCCGGAGGCCCGTCCGACTCCTACTGACCACTACACCACAACGGCTGGCACTTGGCGGTCCACTTGGCAGATGCCGCCCTACCTGTACGGCTGCGAGCGGACGCCCTACTCGGCGCGCCCGGACGTGGTGGCCGCCGACAGGGTGGGCAACTGGGAGCGCATGCTGCACCAGAAGCGCACGCCCTGCTCGTGGATCGCGCCGGCGCAGCGCGCGGAGACGGACACCTTCTACTCGGTGGGTACGGCTAGGTCAGTGGTTCTCAACCTTAGGGTCGCGACCCCAAGTGGGGTCGCGAAAAAATTTTAAGGGGTCGCGGCGAGGTAGCTGGGGTCGTGTTTTGGGCCGATTTTAAGCAGCCACTGCGTCTGATCCGAGGCGGGCATTTTGCTCCCTCAACCGGCAATTGGTCTTTGAACCTTCCTTTAGCATGCCTTTGTTACGGAGTGTGATTATCAGTCTTAGTTTGGGAGCAGTATTGTCTCAAAGTTGGCCGAAACGGTCAGAAATGTCTTTGAAAAATCGCGTTTTGGGCCTATTTTAAGCAGCCACTGCGTCTGACCCGAGGCGGTATTTCGTCCTCCTTCAACGGGCAATTGGTCTTTGGACCTTCTTTTAGCATGCCTTTGTTACGGAGTGTGATTATCAGTCTTAGTTTGGGAGCAGTATTGTCTCAAAGTTGGCCGAAACGCTCAGAAATGTCTTTGAAAAATCGTTGTGCCTGTTTTTGTCAACTTTGAGACAATACTGCTCCCAAACTAAGACTGATAATCGCATTCCGTAACAGAGGCATGCTAAAGGAAGGTCCAAAGAACAATTGCCCGTTGAGGGAGCAAAATGCCCGCCTCGGATCAGACGCAGTGGCTGCTTAAAATCGACCCAAAACATGATTTTTTAAAGACATTTCTGAGCGTTTTGGCCAACTTTGAGACAATACTGCTCCCAAACTAAGACTGATAATCGCACTCCGTAACAGAGGCATGCTAAAGGAAGGTCCAAAGACCAATTGCCTGTTGAGGGAGCAAAATGCCCGCCTCGGATCAGACGCAGTGGCTGTTTAAAATCGACCCAAAACATGATTTTTTAAAGACATTTCTGAGCGTTTTGGCCAACTTTGAGACAATACTGCTCCCAAACTAAGACTGATAATCGCACTCCGTAACAGAGGCATGCTAAAGGAAGGTCCAAAGACCAATTGCCCGTTGAGGGAGCAAAATGCCCGCCTCGGATCAGACGCAGTGGCATGCTAAAGGAGGGGTCCCGTGGGGTCGCGAAACTTTTCCTGGGGGTCGCGGAAATTTTTGGATACAAATTTGGGGTCGCGAGCCGAGAAAGGTTGAGAACCGCTGGGCTAGGTGGCGGTGCGCGCGGTGCGGCCTCTCGCCTGCGCTCCAGTCTCCACGCGTCTCCGAACCACTCGCGTCGCTCGCGAGCGTGCCGACTTGTTTTCAGCCACTTATTTATGGCACGAGGCATTTGGCGTTTGCGTTATTGTGGGTCGCCGCCTATATCGTGGCGGTGGCAGGTCGATTGCGAACCGTGTTTCGCAGCTCCGTCTCTCTCGCACCTGTGTTGAACGCCCCATGAGTGCGAGAGAGACGGGGCGACGAAAGCACCTCGCAGTCAGCCTGCAGAGGCCCATTAATAACGTTGCGTCCGCGCCGACCCCGCCGCCGTCCCGAATCTGACAGCACCTGCGCGACACTGTGATTTACGAGTTTCCCGCGGCTTTTCCCATTTCCCGCGCCACAGTTGTGCCAACAGCAGCGCGACCAGCTCCGCGACCGCTCGGGCCGCCTGCACCCGTTGGACTTCTTCGACATCGCCAAGACGCCTTTCCACTGCCCCGTCGACATGTTCACGTGAGTGCCCTAGAGTGCCCGCCGCCCACCGTCGGCTGGCCGGTCGGTCACCATAGCTTTGGCGCGTTTTGCCCGCAGGACGTACCAGCGCTACCCAGTCATGTTCACCAAGTACCGCGCGCCGCAGTCGCAGCCCCTCTCCCTGGGACGGACGCTGGCCATCCCGCCGCTGCCGGGCCGCTCACTCGTCGGCGACCACAACCAGTACTCGGACACGTGGTGGAAGGGCCAGGCCAAAGCCATGTTCACCTGACTCGCCCGCCTCGCCGGACGCAGTAAAGCCGTTGTTTCGCCCTCCCCGCCTTTCGCTTTCAAGCTTTCCGTGGCGCTTTGACGGGACGCCCCATGAGTGCGGGAGAGACAGAGCGACGAGAACGACTCTCAGAATCAGGCTGCACCCACGCGGCGGGCATCACATCACCGGCCGCGATCAGGCCGCCACACAACAGTCGGCTCGGTCAAGGCCTCGGCCTCCCCGCCTCCCCCTCGACGCGATGCAGAGGTCCTGGGCCGTCCTGATCTGTTGGCCGAGGCCTGCCGAGGCCTGGCCGAAGTCCTGTCCCGTTGAGCCTCCCGAGTCCCCGCTCCACTTAAGACCCTTGCAGCTCACGAGGAATGAGGCGGACGAAGGCGAGCCGCGCGTCTGGCCGAGAACCACGACGACCACGACGATGACGGTGGCGAACAACAAACAACAAACACAAGCGACGATTACATAAAGAAATGGCAAAACTACCAGTTGACGAGATAATAAGCACATTCTGAGACAATCACGGCAATACGGCGGACTGTGAGGGGGAGGGGGCGTGTCCCTTCCACGGGCAAAGGGCCTCCGAGGCAGGGCCTTGGTGGGCGGGGAGGGCCGGGCGGGGGCGGGCCGAGTGGTGGAGGCGCGCAGGGGTCGGGGGCGCGGGGCCGCCGGGGCCGCGGCGAGCACCGCGCTCCGCGGCAGTCGCGACTGGAACTCGCGTGGAGCCTGTGGAACCTGTGGAACCTGTGGAGAAGAGGAGGCCGCACCGACTGCCGACTTCACAACGCCGCGGTGAGTGGTGTGTGTGCGTGCGTGCGTGCGTGTGTGTACTCTGTGAGGCATGGAAGCGGGGAATGGAATGGACTTCCCTCGTCACGCAGAAGAATACGCACTTTGCTGCCCCCTATTAATTTTGAATAGCTCTGAAGTGCATAGTTTTGCTCAATGTGGACGCGACAGGTCGCGGTCGATGTGGAATGGATTGTTTTTGAAAGAGTGATTCACGCCAGCGACCAGGCCTGACCGGTGCAGTGTGGGGGACGGGTAATTTTGAAGCCGTCAGTCAAAGTGTGTGCGTCCCGCGGCTGCGGCTGCGGCGACTGGGCGTCCGGAAGCGGTCTTTGTCACACACACAGCCTGGGCCGCCGGGACGACGGACGGGGCGACGGGGGTCGAGGAGAGGAGGGCGTCATGCGGGCCTTCAAGTACACATTGTACACATGGGCGCGTTGCGCGTGGCGCGTCGGAAGCGAATCGAGTGAGTGCTTCTGCCGCCGTGCCGCCGGCATGACTGTTATTACTGGGAAGTCGAAACGTGAAGTCGAAACGCAAACAGCAGCGCTGGCGTGTTGACGCCGGACGCCCAATCTCCGCCAATCTGCATATTAGCGGAGCAGCGGAGCAGAGCCCGCGCGGAAACCGGCAGCCAGGCCCTCGCGGACGTCGCGGACCTCGAAGGCGAGCTGCTTGGCGGCCTAGGCCGAGGGGGCGGAGGATGTGCGTCGCGAGTGCGCAGTGTGCCAGCGGACTGATTCCGAGAGCCGATTTCGTGTCTCTCTCGCACCTATGTGTGCGACAGAGACAGAGCGACGAAAACGACTCTCGCGGAATCAGTCTGCAGCAAGCCGGAAGAGCAGCCCGCGCGGGGAGTGGGGGTGGCGGTGTGGTGGTCAAGGATGGCGGCTTGCCGGTACGCCCGGTACGGCACGGTGCGACGTCGGGACGACACTTGCATCGGGGAATGACCCTCCGCTCCCTGCACCGCCATCACGGACGCCATCCTGGACGCGCCGTTGTGGGGCGGTTCGGGCCGCAACGCGACGTGGCTCTCTTGCTGGGCCTGGTTGTCTGGATGGCCCGGATGACCTGGACGCGCGTCGCCCGCCACCTTTGCCGGGGAATCATGGAACCGGTTCGGCGGGGGTACACTGTACAGGCGGGGTGCTGTATGGCTGTCCCGTTGCCGCGCCCTGGGTGTACTGCCGTACTGCTGTCCGCTGGGCAGTATCCACGCGATCAATGTGTGCTGGGTGGAAGTGTGATGCCACTTTGACAGGAGGGGGAAGGCCCTGCCCTTGGCCCTGGAGGCGTCCGAGGCCCCACCGCGCCAAGGCACGCAGGGCAGGCCGCGCCAGGTCGGGGAAGTCCCACGCGCCACGCCATGACGACCGGCTCATACGCTTTCCTTGCTTGCAGCGCCCCACGATGAACGGAGTGACGAGTAAGATGGTGCTGGCGCTGGCCGTGGTGGTGCTGGGCCTGGCCGGCCCCGCCGCCAGCCACAAGTACTTCTACAGCGGCTCCTGCCCCCAGATCGACAGCCTCAAGGACTTCGACATGGCCAAGGTGCGTCATGGTGCTCGAGCCTCGAGTCTCACGCCGCGCCACTGTTCACTGCAGCCACTGCAGCACCGCCGCGCCGCCACCTCGACCGAGGCTTTCATGCGCTTTCCCCTATTGTACACAGTTCCTCGGGGACTGGTACGTGAACCAGCAGACCTCGTCGTCGGCCAGGTGCCTCATCAACAACTACGCGCTGAACCCGGACAAGCCCGGCACCTTCAAGCTGGAGCAGTCGAGCGTGCACCAGGTCTTGGGGCTCACTTCCAGGGACGGCCGCTGGAGGTACTACGGCGAGGTCGGACCTCGCGAAAACGCGACGGGGAAGGGTGACCTCCAGGTCAAGTACTCCCTCAGTAAGTAACTGTCTTTACTGGTAGACCAAACCAGAGCCAAAACTCTTACGTTCAATCTAATTTACACTTTCTCAAGACCCTGGCACCGCCAAGTACACCATCCTGGCCACCGACTACGACAACTACGCCTCCATCGTGTCCTGCCAGGACCTCCCCATCGGCTACCGCATCTCCTCCTCCATTCTATCCCGCAAGAGGACCCTCGACCCCAAGCTGCTCGAACAGGTACTTTAGACTTGTTTCCATGTAAACGTGCACCTTTTTTTTTTGAACAAAAAAAATAAAAATTGTATTTTAGGCACGCAACATTCAAAGCAAGAATGGCATGGACATCGAAATACTGAACCCACTGCAGCAGGGCGAGGAGGAGTGCCAGCCCCCGAAGTCTGGCGAAGGTATATTTGCAATGGCATTTGTGCCTATCCTAGCTACGCGTAGTTCACCTGTAAAGACGCTCGTCAATCCCCAGGTTTCCACGGGGCTGTCCAGCGTGCCGGTGACGTCATCAACCAGGGCGTGCAGGCTGTCAAGGACGGAGCCATCAAGCTGTACAACAAGGTGCGTGACTGCGTGTCGTGTAGGACGAGGGACGTTCTATTTTGCTTTCAACCAAAGAAAGAGGAATCTTAATTATTGTTGTGTGTTTAGGTCAGAGGAAAGGACGGAAGTGCTGAGAGTATGGAGGCAGCCGCTGGAAACTACACCACCGTGCTTGGAGTCAACAAAGACGCTGAGTGGCTACCCTAGACGTGTCTTTTTTTTTGTTCATCCTCTTTAAAAAGTAAGAAATTAATTGTATAGACTGACAGATTTTTAAAAGTGAAATAAAGTACTTGTAAGTAAAGGCAAAGGGTGTGGAAAAAAAAAACAGTGTTTCATTTTGGAAAAGTTTATATTATCCCACATAGAACGAACAAGAAAACAACATGATAAAATTGTCCAAAGGAATACAATATGAACAATACTGCAATGGAACAACAGAGCTGGATGTAAAATTGATGGCATATGTCTTGGCAAATAAATAGGCCCATTAAAAAAATCAGGAAACCTAGTTACTGGAGTACGAATGAGTTATCATGGTAACAAGAAATGCATTTGTTAAAATTGAAAAAAATAAAAAAAGACATAAAAACCGTTGGGCGGTTACCCAAAGTAAACTAAACAACTTTCAACTTATAAACAACAGTAAACAAAAACAGACTTATTCAAACCAACAATGAGAACATTATGATCACAGGCTTGACCTCCTGAGTAAAACATAAACCCAACCATTAATTGACTATTTGTAGCAGCTAGCGGCGTCGTAAACAAATTATACAGGAATGAAAAAGTACATTCTGACTAGGAGGAATCACAACATAATTTGTGGTCAGTCATTCAATCAACATCCGATTACAGCCTTAAATAAAGTAAAAATTAGATAAAAAGCCCCAACAAAACAAGAATATATTTTAAAAATTTGTCACGATTCCTTCCAAACTTTTGAAGATTGTTTTCATGCAACTTACACTTGAATGGAAAATTTAAAATAAAAATATGTATCAACACAAACAAAAAAATTACAAACTAAAGACTAAATAATGGCACCAAAGAAACATAAGAGACTAGACAATAATTGATGAACACAGCCAATAAATGTATGTAATGTAATTCACTACACTGGAACAGTATTTGCTGGTTTTAAACAAACCTGTAGCCTAAATTGACTACAAAACACACTATGTTTTTTTTGGTTAGCATTGTAATATGTATTACAAAGTCATATCTTGGGTAGATGCAATAGTTGCTTCAATGAGTAGTCCAAAATCCAACTCTGCAAGACTGGCTGTAATACAAAATTGAATACAGTTAGTAAGAACATACTTCATGTTTAGCAAAACTTATTAACATAAAGTGGTGCAATACCTTTGGCAGTGAGCAGATCCAGGAATGTGTCCAACGGAGACAGACGGTCTTGTGAAGGGAATGCAGTCAGCCCTACACAGAGCATAGAAATTCAGGAAAATAAATAAATTCTTATACACCCTCTTTAAGATGTTAAAAGGCTGTATGTGCTCACCTCTGTTTGCAAGCCCCTGGTAGGGTTTCATGTTTCCCTGCCGAGCTTTGGTGTTTCTGGAACGGGCCCCTTCAACACCACTCAACACATGCAGAGCATGTTCACGTGCACGCACCATCAAACTTGAGGGATGCGGCCAGGCATTGAGAAGACGCTTAGCGCGAGATCTTGGCAGTAGTTGTAATAGTCTCAACTTACGGGCACTGCCTTCTGGAGTATCAGGGATATCTTTGAACAAAATGAAAAGGCCATGAGTTAGATCTTTGATTAAAATCATTTAAGTGACAAATATTTTTGATGGCTGTGGAAACTAACCAGACATAATAGATTTCATGACATCCACTTGCAGCTCAAAGGCAAAGGATTGGGAATATTGCATGAAGGAACAAAAGGGAAGAGTCCTGTACCCAAGGAATGAAAAAAAGGACGTGAAACCTTGTGGTAGGGGGAATGCTAGGGTATCCACAGCAAGAAGGAATCGCTCTAGGAGCCAGAACAAAAGTCGTTGCCTCGCATCATCCAAAGAATCACTATAAGGAGTAAAATCAAACAAAAATTATTACAGTTAGACTTCACATAAATTTAATTTTTCAACACATGTTTCCACATGTTTAAAATATTGAACTCACATAAGAGCAAAACCACGCTCTTTCTCATGACGTGGATCAACCTTTGCAGCAAGACACAGCTGTCGACATAAAGATCTTGACATATCAAGTTGTGCAGCTACATATCTAGTTGCCACAGCATGAACGTGCAAAGGAGATTGACCACGGTGGGCATGCTTTAATAAATGAACACTCAGCTCACGGAGATTCTGAAATGAAATTCAAGGAAATAGAAGTCTTCCAAAAACATTTTTTAGTACAGGTATCACAAATGTTAAAATTATGGACATTATAAACTTGAATTTTTGTTTTACTTACCACTGACAGCACTAACTCCTGTTTGCTTGCCGTGCACGAATCCATTTCCAAAAATGGTAAACCATTGTCACTATCCTGCATGCAATCCATGCACCCATGCCAACATGCAATTGCATTCAAAAAGTATACTTTAATTGAAAAGCAAGTACAATAAGGAAAAAAATTCTGACTTTACCTTATGGCTTCCACCAATATATTAAGATAATTAATGTAATATGATAGTCAAATACAAGAAAGGGTGGAAGTGGCAATGAGGACTACTCTCAACTAAGAATTATCAAAACAGTTAGTCGACTCACCACACTGACAACATTAAGCGGATCACAAGAAGGGCAAGAGCAGTTAGCATCCCTTTCTTCTGTTAACTCTGCTTCTTCATCCTGCATGCATTGTTAGTAAGCAATACCTTTACCAGACAATGTAACTACCTACCAAATTTTGAACCATGATTAAAGGCATAACCAGATGGAAATATTAAAACAGGAATGAAAGAGAATGCAACTAAACTAACGAATAAGTCAAATTTTCCTCATGGAAAAAAGACTTCTGAATTTTTAAGGATTATAGATTAGTACAAGAAGAACCATGCAACCATGCAACAAGACACTACACATACGATAATACTCATTTAGTTTTCAAATTATAGGGAATTTTTCTGTAGGAAAGGCTCTTAAATGTAATTTTGAAAAACTCACCACTGATATGACATGTTCTTGCTTGCTAGCAGTGCATGACTCAGTTTCATGGAAGGGCAGAAAATCAAGCCCGCCTATTTTTCGGTTTGCACCCGTAATAGCAACAACATCTGAAAATGCAGGTCCTGAGCCAACAAAATTTCCACCTGGAGACAGTGGTGTAGTACAACGAGAAAGTGCCTCAGGCTGGAACATTTGAAATAAGCAATAGGATCATAAATTATAAATAGTTTTAAATAATGACAGAGGGCCATTTCATTATTATACCTGATAACAAAGAAGTGACACCATTAACTTGTCTGCGACATGACTTGGCCGGAAGCGGGCACCGGCTCGGCTGTCTGAACTGCACCGATAGTCTGAGGCCCTTTGTTGAGAAGCTGACAAGCTTTCATAAAGCCTTGTCCACATGTCACTTCGATATGGAACTAGACGTTGTCGAGGAGAGAGGAGCATCATAGCAGTGTTCCACAAAGTCTCTTGAGAAAGGGTTAAAGTAGTGTTGTTTAGCTGAAAACAAAAGAAAAGTTTTAGAAACCAAAAAATTCCATGCCCAAAAAAAGAAAAGATGCCTAGTCAATTTAACCTTCATCTCTTGATGTGCTCCATGTGTCGCGACAGTGAGAGGAAGAAGGGGTAGTAGAGATACAGCGTCTGGCGGGAGGTTCTTTCGAACAGCTGCATATGCTCCCCCAACTAATATTTCTTGTAGAAGTCGGGGGGTGCCCACCTCCATACACTGGTTAGCAATGCAGCTCAGTAACTAGAATCATAACAGTTAGGATAGAACAGTGAGTAAAGGTTCTCTACACCAGAGTTATCTACTTACAGAGTACTAACCTGTAGAAGGAGGTCATTGTTGCCCAGGTGTACAAGAACATAATGTAGAATGGACAGTTGATTTGGCAGTAAAAAGCGGTTCTTCTTTTGGCCAGATGTTGGAGTTCCATGTGGACCACCACGAAAAGCGCAAAGAAAATGTGCTGGTGCAATGGAAATGGGTACAATGTCTAAAGTAGACAGGTCCAACATTGAAACTGTTGGCTTGCCATTATTAGTAGACGACTCCTTATTAGGAACAGTAGGCAGTAAAGGAACCAAACATGCGGTGTCAGACACTGGTATGGTGAGAGCATCATTATCCAGCAAAATATGGCAACATGGTTCATGCTCAAGTCCAATGTCCAAAAGATGTGTAAAGAGCCCAGGAACGTGGACTAACATATGATGATCTGTAAGAGGTAAACAAATATTAAAATTTGCCCAATGCTTTTTAAATGCAGTTTTGGTGGAAAAAATAATATTTCTGCTGCATACCGCCATAGTAGGAAAAACTGGGACGCATCCTACGGGCCACATCCCATGAAATGCCCGGAACCACGCAGTGCAACACACAGCCATGATGAAGGAGAGTGACAGAATACGCAAAATGGACATTGTCTCCAGAGACTTTGGAATTATTTTCTCCCTCTTCAGTTGCAGGTCCAACAGGCTAATAAATATTTTAACAGATATTTGTCAGTCTTACAGACCCAATATTCCCAGTAAAAAGGTATTTAACGGAATGAATGGCTATTTCATTTACCTGGTAAAGGTAGTGATGGCAGATACACACCATGCCTTTTGGATCAGAAACTACTGTCAAGTCAAGAGAGCAATCATGCACTCTCAAAGGTATGGGGTCATCCTCATACATTGAGCACAAAGAACCATTGGCTTTTGGAAGAAGTGGAAGATTAAGAGGAATATTCAGCTGGCAAAGAAAAAAGAATTATGAGATATAACATTAAAGAGCCGAATGAGAGAGCTGAAGCCTGGCTCAAAAATCTTACCACTGTTTCATGAGGAAGATTATCATGAAACTGGAGACCTGAAAGAGTAGGAGCCAACTCACTCTCCTGGCGACGGCCCGTCTCAGTGCTTGCACTACTACTACCAAATTCATCGTCGTCTCCCTCAACAAGACGTGCAGCTGGCTTACGGAAATGAATGTAAAATAAAGACTGATGAATGGAATCCCATTGGGCCCAGGTGAAGGATCGTACAACACATTCCACTCCAGAAATACTTTCTGGTTTTAAAACCTGAAAACCAGGTGGGACAAAAGCCAATTTTTAAGGACAGAAATGGAATATGAAAGCTATGAAGAAATGAAGATTTATTACATACCCCATCATCTTCTGAATCATACACAGGTTTATACTGATAAAGGGACACAGCTATACAGACGAGAAGAAGGTTTAATTTCAGGTAAGCAAGATAAACGGAGAAAGATTTAACAATTTTAACAACACAAAGCTTACATTCATGATGTATGAGGACTAGAAATCGATCTTTTTCACCAGGTTGATCTTTGGATCTGTACAAAAACTGGACAACAATTTGTAAAGATCGTTCAATTCCCAGGTCCAATGGTTTACTAGGAAGTTTACGATTTTCACGTTCTCTGTCCTCATCACTTGCTGCTTCTCTTAATTGAACTAAGAAGGCCTGGTAAATATCAATTTTTCCTTTCTTTTCATCGCTACAACAATTAGTCTCGGCAGCGCTTGAATCTGCTATGCTATTCTTGGTAATATAAACTGAAGCATACAAGAGAGATAAGAAGTGAGATTGAGAAGATCAAAACTAAAACAGAGAGAATCATATTACTTACCTATAGCTGTCTTTGTGCTGTTGACACTAGCCTGAATAATATTTATTTGGGTATCGAACTGGTACAATATCTAAAAAGGATGAAGAAAATACAGGTTTGGTAAGTGAAATGAAAATATACATTACTGTAAAGAAGCCTGTAAATACTGTTTACCTCCAACTCTTTCTTGTGCCGATAGTACAACCCAATGCATGTATATGGCTTAACTGTCTTTGAAGGCACAGTGTGTAACCAAGCAAACAGAAGACCTCCATCTCTTTCTTGTCCAAGAATACGCCACTCACAAGTATCAGCTAAGTGGTTAGAAGATTTGATAAATTCATGCAAACCAGTACAACATTTGAATTAGTTATAGTTTATTTTTAAGATGACAGTAGGGAACTCCTTCCAAATCAGAGGTTATGGTGGGTTCACAAAACATAACATTTCAACAGATTATGACTCCTTGAAAAACATGAGGGATTAAATCCAAAAGGAACAAACCTGAGAGGCGATGTGCCAAAATTCCGCTCAAGGTGGAAGCTAAGTTTTCCAGAACAACCATGGTTTATTTCAGAGAACAAAAGCTCTCTCAAGATAAAAGCAGACTACAGTATTCTAAGAATGTTATTGACAACTGTAATGAAGGATCGAGCACGTATGTCGACGCGGTGACGGTCCCATTTTGATTATGTAACGCCCACACACTTGTGTTTACTTAAGTTCGAGACGGGAACTGTTTATCTTTGAACCTTATTGTTCGTCTGCTTTTTCTTCTGCTAACACACCCCACCCCACCGCCCCCTCTCCCGACCATGACGACAGTTTTCTCCCGCCAACAGGGGTGCTAACTTCGAAACGATGAACAGTTCTACACTAAAAAGAGACAGAATCCATCCTTTATGCTTTCATCTTGAGTGTAATTGTGCGCATGCTATTGGGGCAATGCTATCTGCTGAATATGGAGAGCCAGTAGTGAAAATGCTCGTGTCATTCATCTATCCCAGTGAAGGGAAGTCCACAGTCAGTGGCTCAGTCCAGCTCAGTCGGCTGGAACTCATTGAGGGTAGGTTGAGAGAACAGGAAATCAAATCAGACTTCTACACATGTTTAATTGATTTATTTATTTATTCATTTATTTCAGGACTACTGATTTACATCATGTTCCAATAATTTTAACCTCAACAAATGATAGCTATTATTGATTCAGCCATGACTCGCATTTTAACAAGGGTACAAAATGCAAGTAGTAAAAGATTAAAAAGAACAATGATTAGTAGAGGCAGGAGTGCCGACTTCATTTCTGGAATCCCACCAACTAGACCATCTAATTCATTAATGACACCTACCCCTAACTAGAGAGGTGCATATTCACTTCTGTATGTACATACAAATTTATGCAGATCGAAACACCACCATCATTTTGGTACAAACACACTCATCAAAGGAAGACAATTAAAATGACTCGAGTTTCTTAAACACAGAGTTCTGAATGACAAACAACAGCTGAGTAATCTGCGACAAGAGCTGAACACAGACAACAATTTAGAGGAAATAGTGGCAAGGAACATACTTCAGTAATGTGAAAAATGGCACAGTAATAATTTTGAGACTCACTTGTCCCAGTTACACAGCTGCTGGGTCATACCCATCTAAACTTACACCTAGAAGGCATTTTAAGATCACATTAGTAATGCCATCTTGATCACTGGTGTGTGCATGTGAGTGTACAGAAAACCTGTACCCTGAGGTAGTGTTTGTAATTTACATACAACTATCATAAAGAATAAACTAGACATCTAAGAAGTTGTTTTTAGGGAGGAAAGGGTACATAAGCCTGTTTAGGCCGACACACAAATGAACATGTCCAACACATAGATTTTCAGCACAGTAAATTAGAGTGACTTTAGAAAATTATTAAAAAAGGAACAGTGTCAAGATACTGATAAGATTGAACACTTTCATCATATTACTGAGGAAAAAAATAATCCAAATTAATAATTTTTTCTTAATTACTGTTTTATCATGATTTCGTTGTTCGCATACAAAGGGGACTTGTTATTCCAAAATACAAAAATTGCTTAGAGTGGGCTAAAGTCACCCTATTTTACAGTACAAACTTTGCTCATATACTAGAATCACTCTGAAGGTTTTTCACTCACTCCTCAGCTAGGATGCATCCAGATTGAACAAAAACAAAACAAAATGGAACAAAAATGGAGCTTAACTCCCAACACACAACATATAAGAAAAAACGCATATCAAATGAATTTATACTAAATCTGAAGAAAAAAGACAGGTGATAAAGTCCACACACTGCTACATAATTCACATCCACATGATAATGGGCTCAAAAGGTACTGGGGTACAAAAGAAATATAAAAAGAAAAGATCAGTACAGAAAAACAAGTGACAAAAATGTTCACACTTCACAAACAGTGTGTCAAGGTGGGATGGATTAACGTTAGTAGTGATCACCATGAACGATGAGTGATGCTTTGATGAATAGACATGGAATATTTGATAAAGAAAAAATGGAACTACAAATAGATTTTCCTAAAAATGTACCCAGGTACAAAATATAACACCATGGCCCTATGGAGGACTTCAAATGCAACAAAACCTGCTGTGTCAATCAGGTACACATTAGAACATACATTGTGCTTGACAGAATGCAATCATTAAAAAAAATAATATTGAAAAGAAAATACAACATGTATTAATGACACACACAGGCATCGTCAATTCTACAAAATTCTTCACAGGGACTAAGGGAGCCAGCGTCTTCCAAAATTGGCCACCCCTTTAAATGACTTTGGAGAAAGGCGAGCCTCTTGATCGCCGGGTCAATATCTTTCGTTTGAGCTGTCGTGCACACTGGAACAGAAGAAACAGATATCATTCACCATGAACAAGAAGAGCAGTTGAGTATGCTAAACAAAAGGAATACAATGTTTGAAACACATCTTATCCTCACATTTAACAATACAATCAAGTTCTATCATACAATTGTTCAGAGAAAAAGTGTTTAACATAAAAATCTTTGTTTAAATATTTTTAAATGGTCACATTTGGTTGAGCAAATAACAACAGTGATCTTAATTAATATTATTTAAACATAAAAGACTGAAAGAATGCTACCCATTGCACCATGGCCCACAACAGTTTCAAGTAAAAAAAGGGATACAAGATGAGATTTGATTTCAAAGTAGCATGCACTGAATTTTCATTAAAGACTATTGATAATCAAGTTGTGGATCCAGTCATGCATAAAAAAATATAATGAATTGATGAGGGCATATTATCTCCGTATTATTTCCAATGAATGATGATTGATGGGAGAAGACAAGAAAAAAGGAAAACAAGAGCAAACTGAAGTGCGAGGGGTAGCAGACAACAATCCAGACAGGAAATAAAATGCCAAGGTAACTCATTCCAGATGCACTCCAGGACGCGAGGATCGCAGGCAGAAGCAGATGACCACTACTATACGGGAGTTAGTGATTCCTTGTTTCTCAAATACAGAACAACAAAATCACTAGTCTTCCATACAGTTGTAGCCAAAGCAGGTTAGTCCAGAGCCCACCAGTGTTCACTCCCAGAGCGGCACTGCCCAAACACCACAGCAGAGCAAACAAGCTTCGTCACTCCATCACCAACAGAACAGAACAGAAACCCAACAGTCAGACCAAAACCCCTCATGCAATTGTTTTCCACAGAGGGGTAAGAGCTAAGTCCAAGCCAAGAAAGGGATGAAACTTACACATGTTGTGACAGAATCAAAGAAACTTAAACAATAGAGAGAAAAATTCATGTAAACATAAGCTACAGTAATGCTGACAATAAAAAATACAACTCCATCAATGGTCATTCTTAAGTATGACAAATGAATGAGGTGAAAGTTTCATTGCATGGAACTTATTTGATAGAATTCAAATGCAGACGAGTCAACCAGATGCACCCATTCGTGTGAAATTCTTATTGTTAAGCGGAAAGAAGATGTATTCTGCTCTGCTCACCTTTGCTGGAGTAGGTACTGTGCCATTTGAATTTGGTTAGGGGCTCCACAGATGGTGATGACCCTATCATTGGAGCCCTCGGCCGGCTCGTCAATCGTGATGCTGGCCCCCGAGTCCAAGCGAATTTTGCGGATTCTGGAGCCTCCCTTGCCGATGATTGCCCCCGCCAGCTGCAAACAGGAACAAGGACAAATTAAGGACTTGGCTCAATCACTGAGGCAGGCAACATTTATTTAAAATTTATGAGTGGTAGAAATGACCTTTCTTTTAAGCACTGCAACACTATACTTTCAGGGTGAACAACAAGGCAGCAAACAAAACTACAGACTATGAATAATAAGAACATGCAAGAAAATAATCATTGCAAATGGCAGCAAAGTGGCACAAAGTGCCTCAACCTAAGTAGTCAAACACTACAGAGCCACTTTGTCGCATTAGAAACCTAATTTTGTCATTAAACTTAAAAACCAAAAATAATAATTATAACAGAAAGTACTTGCTGCATGTTTCACTTGACTCTAATAAGATTTCCTGTCCCTCAGTTACGATTGAATTGTAGCAGCATAACATTTTGAGGAATCTAGGAAAGTGACAAAATACTCACATCCTTGGGAATGGTGACTTGGGTGGAGTTGCGTTGGCCTGACTGATTGCCGTTGCCCCCTAAATTGGGTCCCATATTCATTGGTGGCGGATTTCCCATTCCATTTGCGGCTCCACCTACACATCACATTACACGAAAAAGTTACACATCTGTGCGAGTGCAATTTTGCACAGATAAATTCAAAACCCAAATCTAAATCCCGGAGATGTGGAGGATGGGGGGAAGGGGAGGAATTAGCTGTAGGGCGTATGGCCTTTCGAAGCTTCTTTGTACTGTTGTCAATCTGGAGCAACAAAGCTAGCCCTCCCTCCAGGCTACAGAGGAATGGATTTGGGAAAACTTGAAACATTAGCAAGGCGGCCCTTGTCAAAATCAAAATTCAGAAAATAAAAAAGAATCAATATATCTTGGATGCAACTACAACAGGCAAGTTGTTTTGTGGCAACGCCAGAACTCATCAAAACCAAGCGAAATTGATTCCTAATGTCTACATTGTAATTTTGTTCACAAAGGAAGGGCTACCAAAAATCTTGCTTGACAAGAAAACTGCCCTTAAAAGCTGTCGACTGCATGCATGGAGGGCTGGGGGAAAAAGCCTCCGCAACGAGCAGCGAGCCAGAGCTTCATTCCAGCTCGCTTGCAGCTTAATTAAAGACAGCAACGCGTAACTTCGCTAAGCCCCCCAAGCAACGCTGCAGCAGTGATTCGCCAATCTACAGAAATCACACACAAACGCGAGCCAAGTGTTCCAAGGCGTCCAACTGCCCTGTCCAACAGTACTGTACTTTTACGGTATTTATTAAGCTCAGCATCCTCACCCCGAGGCCCATCGAAGTAGCCACCGCCACTTCCCCCTCCTCCACCTCCTCTACTTCCTCCTCCACTGCCGTAGTTACCTCCAGCGCCGTAGCCACCGCCGGCACCGTATCCTCCTCCACTGCCACCATATCCGCCTCGCGACGGGGGGCCACTGCAAAAACCAAATCCAGTTAGCATGGCCGTGTTTAGCATTCGGACCGACGTAGGAGTCGAGACGCAGTTCAAGGCGCCACCTACCCCATGCCTCCCGGGCCGCGTCCCATGTCGCGGTCGCGCGGGCCGGGGCCGTCACGGGGCCCCCTGAAGCCGCCTCCGCCACCGCCGCCGCCGCCGCCACCCCCTGGGCCCATCATGCCCGGGCCGCCGGGGCCACCGGGGCCCGGACCCATGCCGCGCTCGCCGCCGCCGCGGCCACCCCGTCCGCCGTCAGAGAAGCCGCCGTACTCCTCGGCGTAGTACTCGTCGCAGTTGTGGGGGTCGTAGGGGCTGTTGTGGCCCTTGATGGGGGTCTGCGGAAGAGAGAGGGAGCCGGTCAGTCAAGCACGGTCGCACAACCAGGGACCAAGCCCAGCGTGGACACACTACACTCACGTTCTGTAATAAGTCGATGATCTCCCGGACACAGTCGACGCAGGTGTTGTTGCGGCCACAGATCTGCACCACTCGGTCAGTGCTCTGAGGACAGCAGTTTGTGTAGATCTTGATCCTGGCTCCAGTTTTCTAGAAAAGAAGACAAGCAAAATTGTAGGAGTGCGTTGAAAACAGTTCCCAGGCAGAGCGGGCAGGCAGACAGGGTGTGGGCAGCACACCAGACACCCGAGGAGGGGCGGGGCGTAAACAACGGCATCAAGTGAAGACTGACAATTACCAGGATGCGAGGCGTGGCGTGGCGGCGTAAACCAAGCGCCGACGCCAACCCTCGCTCGGCGGCTCGGCGCCACACCACGCCTTGCCCCCTACCCTCCCATCCCCACACCGCACAAAACCTTTCGCTCGCTTTCCGTCACACGCGTCAACCCCCTTCACCCCCGCGTCCGCGCGTCCGACCACTCACCCCGCCTCTAGCGGCGTGGGGTGGCGCGGTGGCGCGGGCACCAAGGCGGCCACGGCGCGAGGGGTGCGGTGGGGTAGGGTGGGGGCGCCGCGTAGCGAGCGTATTGATCTACCGAGAGCCGGGCGGCACTCTAGCCTCTAGCCGGGCCGTGCCGGGCGAGGCCGGTTAGGCGGGGAACGCCGTCCCTCCGCCACCCCCGCGGGCACCCCTTGCCTGCCCTCGCATCGCCTCCCCGAGGCTGGGCGCTACGTGGCGCTACGTGGCGCTGCGTGGCGCCGGCCAGAGCCCCCTGGTCGGCGAGCGTCCCCGTCCTCGGACGGCGTGCTCACCTGCCGAGCCGACTCATTCCGAGAGTCGTTCTCGTCGCTCTGGCTCTCTCACACTCAGGGGGCGCCCCGTAAAGGTGCGAGAGAGAGCGCCAACCCCAGCCAGAGCACCGAGGTCTTGGTACTTACATCCCGGAGCTCCTTGACTTTGAGGCCACCCTTGCCGATGATGCAGCCCGCCTGACTCTGGTGCACCAGCATGCGCAGGTCCGTGCCTTCGCCTTCGCGCTGCACGCCCGAAGTCTGGCCGACACCGCGCTCGTTCCTCGACGCCTGGCGGAAACAAAACAAGTCAGCACACTCCAACTCCAAAAAGAAAATACGGAATTGCAAAGGAAACAAAGAACGTACCATGTCGATGTGCGGAATGATGTCGGAAATGACACTGACCACAGTTTCGGGCTCCGCACATACCGTCAGCATCCTGCAAGTCCACGAAGGGGATTAGACGTCGTCACCACACCAGAGGCACAAGCACGAATATGAGAAAGGGCTCTGGACGTTAACTACGTGGGAAAAGCTAACACGCTCCTCTTCTTTGCACAAAAAAATAATTGAAAATAAAAATAATTTAGTTGGCCGGAGGCCGTTTCCCATTAAATATGCATGCAACCAGAAGAGAGACATGCGCAAAAATATTAAGCTTTAATTTTGAGAGTGGAAGACGGCAGTAGCTTTCATCTAAGCAGCTTACAAGAGAAGAGGTAGCTAATGTCCATCCTCTTTTATCAAAATATTTTTGTGGGATAAGCCAATATTCCTTGGCTGTGGTCCATCGATTTTGTAAAATTTAAAATAAAAGGAAATTCATGGCGGATTTGAGGATTTTACTGTGGTCACATTACAAATGAATAAGTTAAGGGACACATTCCAGGGAATTTTGGTCTTAGCCCTTGAGTCAAATATATGAATATATACGTATAGAAGAAGCCACGATAAGGAACACAAACATCCTATAAAACACAATACAAAAGTTTGAACAAAAATTCAACTGATAAGGAAATTCATGAAAAGTTTAGCACCCGTCAAAATGCAATTAAAATACGCCGCTGTTCAGGCGAACGGTTTAGTTTTATTTCGGGTGAAATAAAGAAAGGCTAAACTTTCCATGACATGAATTTTACCAAAAGCATAGCTTTGAACATTTTCTGCAAGAAGGAGGTTCTACAAAAAGGTATGGGAGCTCCAAAGTTGTTACCACAAAACGGTAAAACAGAAGACTCATCAAAACTACAGCACAAGGACACACTTCAAAAGCCTCCCTGGGTATTGGACACCCTATGGGAAAGAGCTGTCCACACATAAGAAGTGCCCGGGAGCGAAATCAGGCGATTTTTTGGAAAGCGAGAAATGGACAACCCTTTCAAACAAATGTGATAAAATATTCCCCAGTCAACTGTTGGTTTGGGACAGGGTTACATCAGAATTCTTGTACTGTTAAACTGAATTTTTTGACAACAGAGAGTCTAGCTCAAATTAATTAACTCAAATTAATTAATCAGACTCAAAAATTTTTACCAGGGATAGTCCAACACCCCCAGTGTTCAAACATCGTGTTGTTATGCAAATTTTAGAGGCACGCGAACGAGTTAAAACAAAAAGAAAAAGAAAAGCTTTTGGCAGCCACGCAAAGGGTGCAACGTGATCGGGCCTCTCGCCTCGCAGCTCGAACCGTTCGCGCGCCTCTGCGGGGAGTAGTGACCGGGGGCTGTGACAACCACACTACAAAAAAATATACACGTACTATGTGTGTACACATCATGTTGCTGGTGCAACCCAAAACATGTTCCATGCACACATGCGGCTCGTGACCTCCAGACAAAATGCGAAAGGGCGACTGTACAGCGCGGGAGTGAGGCTGGCGGAAGTCCGCGCACCTTGCGGCACCTCGGCATCCAAAAGCACCAGACCGACTGCCAGACAACAACATGGCAGCAGCAAAGGAAAGCAACCCGCCACACAGTAGGCCATTTTGTCTGGAGCACCGTGTGAGTTGGTGTATTAAAGAGGCATTCACATGTTTAAAAAAAAAAACGAAGGGAGGCTCCCAAACCTGGCTAACCCCCGACCCTACGCTTAAGAGAGAGAAGTAGTGTAGGATTTACCGTTCTGGGCCTGGACAATCGGGGACAGTGATGGTGGCTTTGTACTGTCATTCGACGGAAGGGCATAATTTCCGGGCGTTGGGCAAGCGTTGGGCGAAGTGGTCAGGGCGAAGGACGGGGCCGGGGCCATCATACCATTGGTCATTGGGGGGACCAATCAGGGGCCACGAAGGTAACAAATATGGGGCAAAAACATGTTAACAAAACAGCCTCGGTGGCCACAAGGAACAACAACACTCGTCCTCGTCGGAAACCGCAGTCATTTCCAATAGCGGCTGGGCAGCAAAGAAAAAAAATTGAAAAAAAAGGAAGGCGAACGCGCACGCCACCCTCCCCGGAGGTTTCCGGTGCGTCCGCGACGCCGCCCGGCCCTCGGCCCAGCCGCCCTCACAGAGGCAGCCTGGCTTCAACTTGGCCAGCAGGGTGGGCAGGGGGCGCCGCGGACCAGGGCGGCCCGGGGCGGGGGCGGCGAGGCAGAGCCCCAGATATGCAGGACTCTAAGGACGCGCCGCCGCGACGCCAGTTTCCAACGAGGACGGAACATTTCAATTCTGATCACTGGGCAGAGCTCGTACAGGGAAGACGGGTCCGTCAGTTACATATTCTTAAGAGAGAAAAAAATTAACAGTTTGGTTAATCTGGGAGAGAAAGAGAGGCGTTACAATCGAAAGAAAGGAAACAGGGCGCGACAGCGCAGCAAGACGGTTAAATTGAATTGAAAATGTATTTTACTTTCACACTGGCACACATTTTACGAGATGACCGTCTGCAGCATCTTGGTCGTTAATCTATCTACAGTTAAAACAAATCGTCATTGCAAACTAATCTAGGACAAAAGTTTTAACTGTTTGTGTGCGAATGATCAGAATTAGTCGATTGAATCAACAACCCAAGAACAGCTAAGAACTAACAGGGTCATTGTAAGAGAAAGCACTAGAATTACAGTTAAATTTGATAAAGGAAGCATCACAGGTCAGGTGCAGGAAGATTATTTCAGACAGGGGATCGCGGGTACAGGGATGAACCGCTATTTCAAAACGTTAACAAGGCACCGCACCACCAAAAATAACGAGGAAATCTATTTCAATTATTTATTTTTTAAATCCTTTTGTCCTTACTGTCACGGAATGGGACCCCGACGACGCAATGCGTGTAACGGTGCACATTCAAGCAAATCATATTCCTCAACAAGTGAATGCCGGAAGGAGATTAGTGAGGGCCCGTCCGCAGTCCGCTGCAGTCCGCACACCCGTACCCATTACGATCAGTAAATGCTTCCAGAAAGGCAAGAGAGGGAAGGAAGTGTGGAGGAGGGGGGGCGGGGCGACTCACCTCGGTTCTCAGCTTGGTGATGTTGTTCCCGCTGCGGCCAATAATGGAGCCAGCGATCTGCCAAAACAAGCGGCACAAACGGTCAGTTCAACGAGTACAGAATGCAGCACAGCAGGCAGCGCGACGAAAACGACTGGCGGAATCAGTCCGCAGGCTCGGCAGGCTCAGCAACAACTCACCTTGCTGGGGATGAGAAAGCGCGCTTCCACGTCGTCGGCGCTGCGAGAGCGCTTCAGGGGGGAGCCCATGTCTGCGTGGTCGCCTTCTCGCTTCATACCTGCGGCACGAGAAAACGGCAAAGGGTCACCAAGACGTCTCCGAAGCAGTCTCGCGCAGCCAAGTCGGAGAGCGACCGCGGGGACCGCAGTCGCGGCACAGCCCCGGCAGCACGCCGCCGCACTGTGCGGGTCGAATCGATAACCAGCGCGCGCGCACGCACACACAGACATTCACACCCACACAAGCCGCCTCGCTGCCGGTACGGGGTACGGCTAGAGCTACGGCCGGTACTACCTCCAGAAAGGGCGGGCCGGCCCGCCAAGCACCCGGGCGCCGCGGGCTGCCTACGATGCCGGGGACGTTCGGGGACGATGCCGAGGGCAGGCTGGGTCCGACGCTGGGTCCGACGCTGGGGCGCGAGGGCGACGCCGGGGCCCGAAGGCGGCGCGTCGGGGCTGGCGTCGTCGGCGTCGTGGGCGTCGGCTCCGGGCAACGGCTCCGCTCGCACTGCACCACCACCACCCTCGCCGGCCGCCCGCGCGCCGCGTCCGCCGCCCCGCCACCACCCGCCGCGCGCCGCGCCGCCAAGCACCCCTACCCCCACCACACCCTCGCGCCGCTCGCGCCGCTCCCGCTGCTCGATACCCCGTCTTCCCTTCCGTGCATGTTCTCGACGGGGAAGGGAAGGCTCGAGGCCGCAGGGCCGTAGGCAGCACCAACAGCCCCACGGCTAAAACCGTCCTGCATCGGTTTACATTACCGCCATACGGCCGCATAAGGCCTCCAGCCCGGCCCGGCCCCGCCCCACAGGGCGCCCAGGAAGCGGGCCGCGTCCGAGTGCCGTCCGTCAGCTTGGCCACTCTAGTTTAGCAGGGCCTCCGAGTGGCGGGCGTGCCGGGACGCCGGCCGGGCCAGTGTGTCGCGCAGGCCTGCCGCAAGCACGACGGCCTGCCGGGCCTGCCCCCCAAGGCCACTGATAAGGCGACGCCGCGGTGCCGCCGCAAGCCGCCACGCCACTGGCAGCCCTGTCTGCAGACTCAGAGTCGTTTTCGTCGCTGTCTCGCTCGCACCTACACGGAACGCCCCATACGTGCGACAGAAACAGAGCGACGACTCTTGGAATCTGCTGCTGGCTGCGCCCTGCTGGCCCTGCCGCTGACGGCGCTACATTCACCGCGGTCCAGCCGGCCACGCGACGCCCCACATCCGCTGCAGCCGACAGCCAAGCTGTCCGGCAGCAGCCGACTGAATCCGACAGCCGTTCCGTCTCTCTCGCACCTACACGGGACGCTCCACGAAGAAAACGACCCTCGCAGTCCGGCATGGAGGGCCTCAGCGAGGAGGGGTGCAAAGACCCAACCACGACAAACCTAATAAACTTGGGGGCGCGCTGACAGGGGGCCACGAGGGGCGCGGCGGGTGCGGCCGTATGCAAAAGACTGGCCCCCCCTCGAGGGGTACGTCGCCCCCCACCGAGGCGCGCTAAGCAACCCCTTCCCGTACCGGCCCGCCACCAGTTGATCTGGTCACCGGGTCACCGCGCGGCACAGCGGCACCGCCGCGGGCCTTGAGGCGGCGGTAGCGGCCGGGAGGGCGGCGAGGTGCGGGCTGCGGAGGCAGGATCCGAGCCGCGCGCCGACACCCGTAATCCCTGGAAGCCCGCTGAGCCCGCAGGGGTACCAGGCAGCGCGACGCAGCGCCTGGACACAGCCCGGGCAGCCCCTTAGGGACTCTCCAACGGACCCTCGAGGGGGCTTCGCGGCCTCGGGGATACAAGGGTTCTCGGGGCTGCGTGGCGCGGCGTGGCGCCACCCCTTGCCTATTGATCGGAGCGCTCGATGCGGGGGGGATGGGATGCCCGCCGTGCCCGCCGAGGAGGCTACGGGGCCGGCCGCCAGCACACTGAGAGTCGTTTCCGTCGCTCCGTCTCTCTTAGGGCGTTCCGCATGGGTGCGAGAGAGACAGAGCGACGAAAACGACTCTCAGTCTGCAGTGGGCCGGGCCGGGGGAACAAAGGGCCGACGAGGGGGGTAACAAGTCCCGTGGGTAGCAACGGGTAAGTAGCTCCCGAGAGGGTAGGTCAGCACGGGGGCAGCCATCGGCCAGCCAACCAGCAGCCGGCACGCCAAGCGACGTCGAGCGGCTCCGGGGTAACTTTACTCGTCCCTGGGGCGCAAGCCAGGCAAGCCAGGCCGGACCGACCGGCCATGCGCGCCGCCGACGGCCCGCCGTGCCGAGGGGAGTGCTGGAAACGAGACGGGCGAATGGACCTGCAGGCCGCTCGCTCAGCGCTCAGGCCGCGCGCTGCAAGCCGTTGTTAGCCGTCAGATTATTCATGCAGCGGGGCGGGCAGAGCGAGAGACACACAGCGCGCCGGCCGGCAACGCCGCACCGCGCCACCAGCGCGCCACCGCCCCCAGCAGGCACTGCCAGGCAGCCCCTCACCTGGGCGACGTCATGCAGGCCATCATGCAGACCCATTAGGCGGATTGAAGAGCCGCCCTGGTCGCGACAGCGCGGCGTACGCGGCGCGCCAACCGGGGGGAGGGGGAGACAATCGGACCGACGTGCGCAGCGTGCGCGGCGCGCTCCACTTCGCACGCACGTTCCAGGAATAGGCACTCGACGGCCGGGGCCAGCGGGGCGCGCCCAAGCAGGCCGTCGTCGAGCCAAAACGCCGCCACACACAAGGGGCGCAAAACGGGCCAAGTCGGCCACACAATTAACGGGGACGCCGAGGCCGTCGGGGGGCGGGGCGGCAGCGGCGCGGGGACGGCAAGACGGAGATGACCCAGGACGATAAGGCGAAGCGCGAAGCGGCGAGAGCCACTCCACTTATGAGGACACGCATGGCCGGCGGGGCCCCTCGCAGTCACGCGCGCCACGAGGGGCGGTCGCCGCTCTTCGCCGCACGCAGCGGCCCCACGCCACCGCGCTGCCCCCCTCCGGCCCCTCTGGCCCCTCGCCCGGAGCCAACGAGCCCCTCACCGCAAGACAGCCTGCAAGACGGCCGGCTGTTGCACCCCATCCCCTTTAAACTCACTCACCCTCTGGCTTGACCCTCGCTGCACCGCTGCACCCGGCTGCACACTGCCTCGGCGGAGACTTGGCCCACGGCGCGGACGGCACTCCACTCGACACTACTCCGAGGAGGCCAAGAGAGGCGACTCGCACGACTCGGGGCGGACACACGAACTGACGGTCAGCGGCGCGGACGGCCTCAAGTCTAAGCAGCCGGCCGCCCCCCACCCCCCGGCCAGGGTGGACAACCACCGAGCCACCCCTGGGCCGGCGCACCTCATTGGCCGGCCTGGACACGGGCAGCCAATCAGGTGACAGGGGAGCCTCGTCCGTCGGCCGCCCTGCCGCGCCGTGCCGCCGTGTCGTCGCCATGGAGACGCGTGCAAACAAATCGCCGCCCCCCTCCACCCCCGCGGACATGTCGAACGTTACAGCACACCACCTGACATCGCGGAGGTGCGCCCGGCCCGGACGGCCTGGACGCCGTCCACGCCGCGTCCACCTGGCCGAGCCAGGGGCGGTACCAGCGTTCAATAATTCCCCGGCTACCCCTATCATTACCCTCCCTGCTCCTCCACTTGCTCCATGAAGTATGCATTCCGCCGCCGGGGACGGGGCGGACGCCGCGACGGCACGCCGCCGTCCCGGACACGACACCGTCACGACACTGTCGCGCGGCGCCACGCCCCCAACAGGCGGCACCTTCTGCCGCAGCGTCGCGGAGCCGCGGAGCACGCACCAACGTTTGCCGCGGGTTCAAACACAACTCAAAAACATCCCTTTGGCCTCGCCATTGATCCCAGCGACGGAAACGCCAGTCGCCACCGCGGTCCGGCTAGCGGGGCTTGGGGCCAGGCATGGCCAGCACACTGAGAGTAGTTTTCGTCTCTCTCGCACTCATGGGGCGTCCCGTGTAGGTGCGAGAGAGACAGACACTTCGGAATCAAACGGCAGGCTTGTCCGGGCCGCGCACGCCGCCAAATGAAAACAGTCGCGTGCGCAACAAAAAGAAAGCCGCCATTTCCCTGCCCGTCCTCGTGACACGAGCCCTGAAAAAAAAGGGCCATTTCTCCGACTGTCCTCGTGACAGGAAGCGCGAAAAACGAAAACTTGTCGCACCGGGCGCGCGTGGCGTGGCGAGGCAGAAAATAGACACACGCACGCACGCACGCGCGCCGTCGTGATACCATCTCTGGATTAAGTTTCGACGAATATAAAAAAGAATTGTCAAGCAATAAATGTGGAAACGCTGCGGCGGAGACACGAAGACAGACAGGAGGGTAGACGGGGTACTCTTTTCGGGGCGGGGCGACGGGGGAGGCGAGGGGAAGGGGGAGCCAGTCGATACTGCACGCACCAGACATTCTGCACACGGCAGCCAGCGGCCGAGCGGTCTCTCTCCAGCGAGCAGACAGCCAAAAGAGGTCGACACCGAGAAGGTTTTCCAGACGCCGAAAGGGCGCTTTGATCATGTACCGCTCCTGCCGTGGTTTCACTCCCACTCGAGGGGGGTTCCGTCTATGACCACCAGGGACCTGAGCCTGGCCGAGGTAGGCAACCCTTCCGTCATTGGCGCAGCTGGAGCGGAGATCGACTTTTTGGCTGGAGCCTGCTCCAGGTGGAGGGAGGAGTGGGCCGTCCGGCTTGCCACGCTAGCCACGTGCCCCCGCGCGGTAGGCCAGGCGCGGGCCGCGCGGACACCGCCGTGCCGCGTGCGGCCTACCCGCACGGCTGGAGCCTCGCTGGAGCCTCCGCTGGAGCAGCCCGCCCGAGCCCGCCATCCTGGAGTCGTCCTTCTGAACATCGCCGTCGAGAGAGACAGAAGACAGCTTTGCCGGAAGTGAGGCCATGCTAGCCCGGCCCAAGGCCCGACGTGGATCAATGTTCCAGACACGAGGGGACACCCTGTCACTCCGTGTCACGCCGCGCCGCCGCTTTGAGCGTTATATCGCCCATCCATGCATTAGCCAAGGTGTTGTCCACTCGGGCCGACTCGGTCGCCATGGAGACGCTGCACACTTTTTTAAGGGGCCAAATTATGCATGGGCCAGGAAGGACGAGACGCCGCCGCGACGCCAAGGCGACCCCGCCGTCGTCGTCGCCATGCCGATGGCAGGCCGCGTGCATCTTCCATGAGCTTATTTGGAGCGTCAGCAAACTCCCAGCCAGCCAGCCAGCCAGCCAGCCAGAAGGGCGGCCTGGGCGCCGCGCCTGTTCCGTGCCGACGATAAACTGATAGGCACGGCGCGGCACGAAGCCGGCCCGCCGCACGAAGACACCAATTACCTACTAATTAATCAGGCAAACCAACAAAAGAGAGCCTCGACGCACGCACCGCCAATCGCCTCGCCAGAGAGTCGCTTTCGTCGCTGTCCCTCTCACCCCTGCGCGGGGGCGTCTTCCTAGAGGCGTCTTGAGTGCGAGAGACTGGGCAGACTGGTTCCGAGGGTCATTTTCGCCGCTCTGTCCCTCTCGCACTCATGGGGCGTCCCGTGAGAGTGCGAGAGAGACAGAGCGACGAAAACGACTCTTGGAATCAGTCTGCAGGCGGCGAGCACACAGGCTACAAGTAGGAAGCCGGGCCCTGCTCGGCTACACTCGGCCACTGCCATGCCTGACACCAATTAATGCATCACGTCATCGGGCACCTCGCCGGAAAGGCCGATAAAACGTCGATAGCCGAGAGGGGCACCGAAGCGGGGCCCGCGCTGTAAAATCCCTCCGACGACCGCTCGGCCCATTACTACCTCACTCTGTCATTCACGATGAGCGGCCCAATTGCCTCCGTCCCTGCAGACCAATTCCGAGAGTCGCTTTCGTCGCTGTCTCTCTCCTGCCAATCAGGGACGCCCCATGAGTGCGACAGAGACAGAGCGACGAAAGCGACTCTCGGCCCGCAGGCATCGGCCGCTATCGACTCCTTCGATGGGGCGATTAGCGACAACGAGACCCACTTCCTGACGGATTAAACTCGCATTACGGACCGCCTTTTCAATATCCAACGGCAAGGAGGAGCGCCTCGGGCGGCGACGGTACGGCACGCCAACTGGACACCCTACCCTCCCCGTCCCTCTCTTCCTCGCACCCTCCCCACGAGTGCGACAGAGAGGGTGAGAGAGCAGCGCGCACCTGGCGGCTGCATAATCCATGGCCGTTGCGCCGTCATTACACCCATCAATTATTGGCAGCGCGCCTCCTTGACGTGGCCGAAGGACATGCAGTGCAGTGGGGGCCACGCCAGGCCACGCCGCCGTGGAGGCTAGGCGGCCCTCGAGGCCACCGCCGTCGCCGAGCTCGCGGTTCGCGGCGCAGTACGCGAGTACATACGCGGCGCAACCTGTGGAGGTGCCGGGCGTCGCCGCGTCGTCACTCGCAGCCCAAGGCACCCCGGGCCAGAGGGGGAGGGGGCGTATTCCCTAACGAACCCGCCATAGTGCACGCTCCGCCGAGCGCTTTACAAGATCGCTTCGTCGCTCTGTCTCTCTCGCACCCACTCCACCGCGCTCGCACCCTTGCGGAGAGCCCCACGAGTGCGACGGAGACAGAGCGACGGGGGCTGGGCTGCGGTTTCGCCGGCGCCTCGGCTCTTCATTAACGGGTGCGCGAACGCCGCGAACCGGGGAGGCATGCATGCAGATCGGCGTGTCACGTGGAGGGTGCCACACACGACCTGGACGGCCGACTGATGTCCCGTTTGCGTGTTGGACGCGGGGCTCGCGGGGCGGGGAAGGGAGGGGCAGCCCGGGGCAGCAGGTTATTTGGTCGGTTTCCAGGGCGACGCCGGCCAAACACTGGCCTTCCCTGCCTTCCCTGCCGCGCGGCTCGGACACCGAGGCCGAGGCCCCAGTGGCCCCGAGCAAGCAACACCCCACCGGCCGTGCGGCCACACCCCGTGCGCCGCGTGCGCCCAGGCCGCGGCCCGCGCCACCGCAAGTGGAGGGACGAGCACACACCTTTCCTTTCGGCGAAAACGCGGCAAAAAAGAGCGAGCCGCGCCTCGGTCAATGAGGCAACGAGAAAAAGGGGTAACGACGGGGGAAAAACAGCGCGCGCCGCGCACAAGAAGCGTTCGCCGGCGAAAATTGCACGGCCTGGCCGCGGGTTCAAACGCCAGCTTTACGACTCGGGTTATTTTCCCCTCCTGTCTTTGAAAGCGACCCCCGCGGCGGACCAACGACCCCACAAACTGGCATAGCTTTCAACCCCGGCGACGTCGACGTGCCACCACACTGCGTCATGACTGTCCACGGCGCGGCCGAGAGAGAGACAGCAGACCGATAGGTGGTCAAAACGCTTCTCGAATTTTGGCCGCCTCCACCGGTCTTCTGGCCCACTGTGCAACGTCGCCCAGTCAGGGTGGGCCCGGCAGTGCCCGGCCGGCCGAGCTGCCGCGCCAATGGCGACGCCATACCCGCAGGCCGCAGCGCGCTAAAAAGCCCGAAATAAAGGTCGCAAATGAGCGCAGCCCCGCAGCGCGCGAAGGCCGAAGGCCCGAAGGGGCGCCGCGTACCGCCGCGCGGGCAGGCAGGGCAGGGCGCCGCCAAGAGAGCACGTCCGTCACCCGCGCGACGTGCGCGACGTGCGTCGCGGGGCGCGGTGGCGCGCCGCGTCGGCCCGCGTTCGTCACGACCGGCCGGGCCGCGGTCGAGCCCGCCGGCTACACTGCAAAGTCGCCCTCCTCCGCCCTCCCCAAACGCTCATAACATCGCTTTGTCTCTCTCGCACCCTTGCGGATATTCCCGTGAGTGCGAGAGAGGCAGAGCGACAGGATTTTTCCTAAAGGGTTTATTCTTGACGGAAATTATTCCGCAAAAACCCGGCCGCCCACACCGCCACCGCACTGCACTTTCGCAGTGCACCCTCGCGCTGTCTCTCTCGCACCTCCACAAGACTCGCCGTGAGTGCGAGAGAGAGAGAGACACCGCGGGGCGCCCCGATAACCGCGACCCAAGGCCTCTCCTCGGGATTCCGGCGCTCCTCGACAAAGTTTTCCGGGGCGGAAGGCCGGAAGGCACGGCGGCGCTGGGCGGCGCAGCGAGGCGGGCCGGGCGAGGCAAGGCAGCCTGGCCGGTCAGGCAATGAATTAATTAATTAGAGCGGGGAGCCGTCACGACACGTCATGCCATCGACCACCAGGCGCGCAGGCCGACAGTCGGGCCGTCGCTCCGTCTCTGTCGCACACACGGGGTCCTCCATAAGGGCGCGGGAGAGAAAGAGCGACAAACCGATCTTCTGAATCGCTCGGCAGAGGATTCGGTCTGCAGTCCGACTGGGACACGCTACGCCACCGCGCGGGAAGCCCCACCGCGGTCTACAAAACCGATTTCAGTCCGCGTTTGGAAAATGTAAAAAAACGGTGGCGACGGGAGGAGGAGACGGGCAGGGCCAGGACGGGACAGGGGTCGCTGGGCAGGGGACCGGGGGGACAGGGACGGCGGCGGGGCTGGCGGGGCGAGGGGTCAGTCAATACGATAGCGTGCAAGGCGAGCGTGCGGCGTGGGCAGCAACGCAAGCCACAGTCATATAATTTTCATCATAGACAGTGTAGCCGTCCTCGGAGTGGGGAACCTGCCCTTTTAGAAGCACGGACGGAGCGCGCCGCCGGCACACAGGGGCCGGAGGGTGGGACTGGGCGGGCAACCAGCAGACGAGAGTCGTTTTCGTCGCTCTGTCTCTCTCGCACCAAACGGGACGCCCCAAGAGTGCGAGAGAGACGGAGCGACTCTTGGAATGGGAAAGTCAAAACCAAGAATCGGAAAGCAGCCCCCCAATAATGATGGTTTGGACTGGTGGTGGTTGTTTCTGGACAGAGGGAGGAGGGAGGGCGGTAGGGAGGCGGGGGAATGAAGGATCAACCAACTTGCCTCTCTTTTTCACAAAGTTTCCACATGAATAAAGCTGACTTGGGGCTTAGGGGAAATTAATTTTCAATACCAATGGAAAAGTTGTTGAAAAGTCTGACTTTCAGGCAGGGGGAAATAGAGTTTTAGTGCTACTGGCACAAAAGTTCTTAACTTGATAAAATAGTTGACATCATAGATGACACATGCAACTTTATCAAATATCACTTTAAAAAAATAGCACTAAAAAATTTAGAAACACATTGTAAGACCAAAAACAATTCTCAAATCAAACTTTATTCCTGGTAATTAACTTTATGGCTGGACTTTTCTAAATTCAACTCATCCCAACACATAAAATCAATAAAAGTCCTTGGAAGTGTACAGCATACAGGACACAATTTGGGTAGGAATTCGAGACAGTGCGCGATTAATAATCGGTCCTCCACTCCGTGCATTCGATAACCTGCCCAAAAACTCTTGACAGAAGATTGATACAGCAAAAGTGGCCGCTACCCAACCCAGTGCCGAAGGGACCAGCAAGGACCTCATGAGGTAAACAAGCCAACCTCAGGCCGCAGGCGTAGGGCCGCAGACCGCACCCTCAAGGAGCGAAGGTTAGAGCGGGACGCGTCCCCGCCAAAACCCGCACGGCAAAGCGGGCCAGCAACACGGGTGGCTCGGGACCAATCTCATCCTGGTGCGGGCGACTGGCGAAATCGTCTTGCACCTCGTTCTCCAGTATTTACACACGAGGCGCAAAGAGCGGAGAGCGGCGGGACAGGACAAGGCCCGTGCCGTGACGACTAACCGCAGCGGGGCCGTCTACCCGTCGGCGGCCGCCCTCAGCACTCGTCCCGTCCCAGCGTCAGCGACAGCCGCGCCGGACTGAAAATCACTCACCTTCACAATTCGAGGAGACTTGCGGTGTCAAAGATTCTTTCAAATTCACTAATTTGGTTGGAGGTGACGCCGTACTTCGATGACCGCCAGTCGGCACGGCTTCACTTCAGCGCGACGCCAGTCTGCGCCTTGTGGAAATCGGGGGAAGGGGAGGGGAGGGGGGAAAGGGGCCCGAAAAGGGATGATTTCGCGTTTTCCTCCTTCCCATTTACTTTAAATCATGAATGGCGTTCAGGATTATTCTGTAGATTATTTTGATGATCCCCTTGAACTTGCGCATGAATAATTCAACGAGTTTGCCCCTAAAATCAAAATTGTCAAAAGTGACGCCCTTCGTCCTCAAGGCAAGACATGGAAGAAAAACAACAAGAAGTCATCAGACATGTGAAAACAAATCCTTGTTTGGGCTCTATTGTGCAAGGAAAAGTGGCACTTCATTTTAGTAAATTCTCTTTGAAGTGATAGAGAATTCCGAGGATGTCGGAAGAAAAAGAAGCTTCAGATCCCGTTCTACCAGTGGAGGAGGCTTCCGAGTCGAACGACGCATCGGAGAAAGGTAAACCAGTGCACAAGTAGTGACATTAGAGGTAACTCCCTGCATGGTGAGGGTCCTTTTGCCGACGGCTTAAATTTTGAATAAAATGGGATATGTCGCAGTTTTTCTCAAGTCTATCATCAAGCCAAAGCATTAAACTTGCGCTAGCAATCAATGGGAAGGTTTTCAGGTGTCCTGTTGTATTCAACATTATGATTCATACATGCTGCTACAGGCTCTTTGTGTGTTGGACCAATTTTTCTAACTAACTACACTGTTCTGAAATATTGCTGTATCTTCTTTCCATCTTTTTCAACAATTACAAGTGCAAGTCAGTAATATGCCACGAGCATTTTACTTGATGTCACTATCATGTTCAAGACATATGAAAGCAACTCACATGGACATGTGTCTAGTGCTTCTAGAATCAGCATTTTCAGTTTTGCTAGAAATTTTTGGCAAGAGCTGGGGGGGGGGGTATGAAGAAAAGCTGCTGCTGTTTAAAAATTGAACATGTAAAAAGGTCTTAATGCTTTTTATTTCCACTTGTAATTTTTTTTTTACACTATAATTGCAGATGATCGCAAGGACACTGGTTTTACCTGGCAGGACTATTTGGAAGTAACAAATTCTCAAGAAGTTCCCCACCCTTTCTTCCAACATGTGAGAGAAGTTCAATGTTTATTTGTTAAATAGGCATCCTTAAAATTTTAAAAATTACTTTTGTATTCATGACAATCACTAGGTTGAAGCTGGCTTGGATACTGAACTTGAGAATGGTATGATACTAGAAGTTCCCCGCAAAGATGATCCGTCACTATACTGGCTGGCAAAGGTGGTGCTTGCTTGTGGACCTTTCTCCAGGTATACACTTTGTGTGATTTCTACTGTCAAACATTCACAGTGCTCCTAGCCTTACATCTGTCTTGGCTTCATTTTCAGGTTACGGTACTCTGGGGATGTTGAGGATCAAACAGCAGACTTCTGGTGTGACTTAACTAATAGCAATGCACAACCCATTGGCTGGTGTGACCAAGAGGGAAAAGTGCTCACTCCACCAGAGTCAATAGCAAAGCTGATAGGAGATGTACAGTCACACATTGAGGAAGTGAAGAAGACTGCAAAACCAGTACCACCCCACCTTCTGAGTGGAGTAAGTAGAATGATGAAGTGAATTATAAAATATTTCTCCTCTTCACATTAACCAATACTCTCTTTTTAGGAGGGATTTGTGCCCACAGAGCGCATTAAGGCAGGAATGAAAGTTGAAGTGCAAGATGTGGTCAATCCCTACAGCTTATGGATAGCAACTGTAAGTACTTTGGCTAACAAGCATTTGATCAAATTGAAATGCAAGCGTAAAAGTGGCATCATCTTGTTGTAGATTATTGAGAATGTTGGTGGCCGCCTGCTCCTCCGGTATGATACACCAGATTCTTCATCTCCTGAATTCTGGTTGTACTTCACATCATCTCGTATTTATCCTATGGGATGGTGTAGTGAGAAAGGTACAGTATAATCTTGAAATTTTGTCTCTATTGAGATTCATGATGTGAAAACTTGCCAATTTTGACTAAAAACATTTTTTTTTTAAATTTAGGGGATCCTTGGGTACTAAGGAGACCAGCTCATTTCCAATCCTGTCATGGTAAGGAAGAATGGGAAGCTGTGATTGAAATGGCCAAGGAAGATGCCCGGCGCACTCCACTTCCTACAGATTTCTTTAAGGTACTGTAATTTCACAATGGACCAAAATGCTAAGTTGTTTATTTCTCCATGTTTTTTATTTTGTTAATAATTAATCTCCATTCCAGCACTCTGATGAAATTCTTCCACATTCTTTTATGATGGGTATGAAAGTGGAAGCACTTCACCCAATAGATCGCACTCAGATTTTTCCAGCTACAGTCATGGAAGTTTGGGGCGATGCTTATTTTCTTGTTGAATTAGATTTTAAAATTTCCTCACATGGTGAAGAAGAACCTAGGCTGACATGGCTGTGTACCTCAAATCATCCGTATATTTTTCCTACCGGTATGGGCAAAACCTGGGATAGTTGTCTCATTGTTGTAGAAACTAATTATTATTATTATTTTATCTCTTTGCCATTTTTGCCTAATTTGTTACAGGTTGGGCTAATAAGCATGGCATCAAAATATCTAAACCTATTGGCTGGAAAGATAATGTTGAAGATGAATTTCACTGGGATGAATACTTGCAACAAACCAGTGCTGTTGCAGCTCCTGAAAAATGTTTTCCTCAAAAACCATGTGCTAAATATAATGGTATATTGGCTCACATGAAATTAGAAGCAGCCAATCCACTAGACCAGTCGGAAATATGTGTTTCAACTGTTGGACGAACAACTGGTCATATTGTTTGGATCCACTTGGAGAGAAATGAAAGGTAGGTTTTTAATATTTTAGTTTTATTTGTGAATCTTCTTTGTGGTGCATTCAATGAAACTTAAATTTAAAAAAAAAAAAAAAAAATTCTCCTTGTCTAGTGATCATCCTCGCCATGCAGTATCCTACGATTCTACCGATATTTTCCCTGTTGGTTGGTGTGACAGTAATTCATATCCACTGAAGCCTCCTCTATATTATCAAATGCCCTCAAGTAGTAGCAATAGTGTTTTAGGGGATGAAAGGTAGGCAAATGTTGTGTGAAGTTCTAAAGTTGCTTGCAAAAATGATAAAACATTATTTCATTTTCATTTCTTTTTATTAAGTAATGACAAAAAAGATACAGACTCCGGACAACGAATGAGCAAATTGTGGTGCCCAAAGATATACTTCAATCATAGATGCTTCTCTGGTCCTTTTCTTTCCAAATGCAAACTTGCTGGTCTGCCTCAAGCAGTCGGGCCTGGACCTGTAAGATTAGTTATGCGGGAAGTGTTGTCCATGTTGATATCTGTTGCCTACAAGTCAAGCCGAGTGCTGAAGGAAATTCAGTGTGACGGGGATCTTAAACCAGGTGAACATGTGGAGGTCCTGAAAGCAAAGTATGTTTCATTCATGTTCTGCTGATTACAGAACTATAATTCACCTTAGGGTTTATTAATCCAAGGATATTAAAACAAATATTTTCCAGGTTCAATCAAACAAATTATAGAGCCCGAGTTGCAGTTGTTAATTCTTCTGATCAGGTAGCAGAATTTTGTCAAGATATCTGCCTCCGTCTAAAGGTCTGTCCATATTTATTTGGGCCAACAAGGGTAGAAGCAGGACGATGCCCAGAAAAATGCAATATCTCTAAAACCAAGTTTAGTATGTATTCTAGTTCCAGCATAATCTCAAACTTTATGAAATTTCCCTCTCATTGAAAATAATAACAACAATAATTTTCTTCATTAAGCATCACAATATTGGTCAAATCGGCAAAAGAAATCTAATAGACCAGCAGGGGATCCACTTCCTGAGCTAGAAATTGTTGGTCCTAAGAAAAGAAGAGGTCGTAAGAGACGGTTTTCTAGCATAAAAACACGAAACTCAGCTCCAAATGCTAACTCCATTCAAGGTTAGATGCATTTTCATATTTCCATCTGTAAATAATCATAATTCAAAGTTCAAGGTTTTAGAAAATTTATTTTGTGTCCAGGTGCAGAAAGTGATGCAAGTGGGGATGATGCAGTGGAGCCTAGCAGCCAGTCATCAGTTCCTGAATCAACTCCTCGTCGCCGTGAGATCGTTACAAGGGGTGCAAAGCAGGCCCTAAATTCCTCTACCAATGCTCCAGCTACCCGGTAAGCATCTACCCTGCGCCATTTTCAGTTGATATACTTGATTGTGTTTCTGTTCCCTTGTTAATTTATTGTCATGGATTCAAATTTGTTGCAGACAACGACCAGAAAGACGGGGGGTTAAAAGGCAACGAGAAACTGAATCCACCGACCAGAAGTCTCCTAACAAGGTAGAGTTCCCTGCTCCTGGAAGCTGGCTTTATCCATTACCCAAGGTTGATTCAAACCCTCGTGATTGGACTGTAGATGACGTTGAAGCATATCTCAACCAAACAAAAGACTGTAAATCAATTTCCAAGTTACTAAAGAAAGAGGCTTTTGATGGAGTCTCCTTCATGTTGCTTAATCTCCCCACTGCTGTGAAGCAACTCAACCTCAAACCACTCCAAGCTGTCAATTTGTGCAGGCATGTTGCACAAATCAAGTACATATTTTTTAAGAGATTTGTTTATGACATGGAATGAACTTAAATGAAAAATTTACTCTCCTTATAGATGTCTAACATCAAGCATTAATTTAAATCATGTTGAAGTGCTGTGTTTTCCTTACAGTAGTATTGTACATTTTATTTTCATGAACTGAAAATTCTTATAAATGAATTTTTCCACAAAATCAAGAAATTCTTCCACTGTTTTCAGTTTCAACCAATTTATTACTTTATTTGTATTGCATGATGTTTACAGCAAAGCTATGTGATAAAACTTACTCTCCTAAACTGTACTGTGACTAAATACCTGATTACTATTTATTGATTAAGTATAATCAAGTGAACTCAAAAATATGTTTTTCTCTGTACCACACTCCTCACATCCTCCTCACACAGTAAGTTATCTGATCCACACATATGAGTTTCACATTTAAAATCTAAACAAGATGTATTGCTTGGTTAAGAAGAGAGGAAAACATAAGCATAAGAAAACTTGAAAGTACCCAAAACCTGGTGGATAGTGAAGGAATGTAGCAGGTTTCTCATAGCCGATGATTTAACAATATCACAAACCTCACAGCTGATTAGCATTTCAAGAATGTCTCTTCGCCATTCAAATACCATTGAAAATAAAGTAAGATTACATAATGGAGAAGCAAGACAACTGAAAAGCTGCAATAGTCTCAGGCAGAATTATATTGACCTGGTTATCAAAACCCTTACCAGAATATAGAATTTCATATTTCATGTAATAACTGGACCACAGAGTATATTTTGTAAGACTTGTCAAAATGTCTTATAATTTTGATACAAGGCTACATCAGTCTAGAGTTAATTAATACAAATTGCTATAAAATAAAAACTTACACCTACTCCAGATATTAATGTACACTGGATATCTACAAAACAAGAAGCTTAGAAATAAATGCTAAGCACTCATACACAGCCAGTACTTAAATCCCACCTTCTAGAGACATTGAGAAATGAAGCAAGAAATCATAATAACATAGGGTAAAACTTGCTGTCTTGTGTAAAATTTATCAGTTTATAATAAGTGAGCAATCAGAACATTTGACATGAGTTACAGACAGCGCAGAGGTTGAGGCAAACCAGCAAATGTACAAATAAACTGTGATATACAAAATATATTATGTGTGTATCAGGCGACAATTTTGGCATCAAAGATACATACTAGGACAACATAAGAAAGCATATTGTCTGTAATAATACAAGCTTAGAAAACTTTTGAAGATTAAAAATTTGAGTAAAATTGTAAAATAGTATGAAATTTGTGTCAAGCATAAAAGACAAAGAAACATACCAGTACTCTTTGTCTCTTGGCAAACATAAAATCATTTTTGTTTAAAAATTATGAAAAATGCAAAATGGTTTGTTAGATAGGAATTATCTCAACATTTATACAGTCATTAACTTGCACATTATGATACCATTAACTTACACATGTGAGCAGACTTATTCCAACATGGCTACAACTCTCTAGCACATTGATTAAATAAATACTGTTAGAAAACGAATTGCATTTAAAAACGGGAAGAAAGAACAATTGGAGTTTAAAATGATAATCTGACTCTACATTTGAGCTGAGAAAGACACAATGGATTCAGCCAAAACAATATGCACACGTAAAAACTGTCACTTCAAAAAAAGGAAAACCTTCCAAATTTGAAGCCAAGTCTATTAAGAAACGTCATGGCCACTTTGATGAGCTACAGACCTTTGCAAGGTAAATGAAATAAATATGAATGTAACAAAGTATATTTCGATCTATAATGATCACGTATTTAACTTATGGTGTGCACCTTGCTAGTTCCACATGTGAAGTAGGTAAAGCAAACTTTCCCTCTTCAATATGGCAAGACTGGTGGTGCTAAGGGACAAGCAGACTCTTGAACTCATCTCTTGACAGAAACATAGATGATAATTCCCAACACGGTAAGAACAACAGATGCTGTCACAAGTAGGCAAAATAATTTTCGTCGATATTTATTCTGCAAGGAAAAAGGTGTGCATTTAGAGAAAAATTAAAAACAGATGAGCTTTAATAATTGATAAAAATGAAACAGAAAAACACATAAAACAAGGAATTAAACTTACTTGATATCCTGCTGCTTTGTCCAGTTCTTGTCGACCCAGCTCAACATTACCATGGACATTCTCGATACCATCCTCAATAGACCCTAATGATAAAAATTAATAAAATCAATTGTATCAAAAGTTTTGAAGCCTTAATACACAACATTGCATGTCTGCATTTTTCTTACCAACTACTTCTCCCTGCTGTTGAACCATAGCACTTAGATCTCTCATAATTTTATTTACATCAATGATGTCATTTTCAATAACTTGAATTCGCTGAGTGCGCTCTTCTATAAGACCTGCTTCGAACTCAAGCTCACGCTGCTTCAGCTTTTGTTCTTGTTGCCTCCTCTCCACAGCCAACAAGCGCTCCGATTCATCATCAGGAAGGTCAGGTTCTGGGTACCCCGGTGTAGTCACTGGCAGATGCAACTTCATCTTGTCTGAGATTTGCTGCAAAGATTTCAAAATGGTGTAAAGTGTTCCAAGACAACCAACTTAATAATAATCTGTAATTGAAAACAAAATGCAGAATTTTTACCTTTTGAGCTCTACCATAGTTAGTGACAGCCTCCGAAAACTCTTCTCTGAGACGTTCTGATTGCAATTTCTGTTGCTTGTTTCCTCGTCTTACAACTTCAGTAAGACGAGCCAACTCTTGAGTTGTTTGAGCTACTACATCATTACAACTGACATGTGTTACATGGCTGTAAGGAGGACATAAGAGTGAGCTTTATTTCAATAAATACTTTAAAATTAAAATTGCTTGGTACATAACAAAACACTTACATCTGGTCGCGCAAACCTTGAGTGTCCTTAGGAGTCCCAATGGACCGCAGCTCTTTCTCCACCATTTTCCGCCCATTGTTAATTGTGTAGATGTTTGTAGTTATATTTTCACAGAGATTATAAAGCTCTGTTGGACTGAACTGTGACACATTGCTGTCACCAGCTAGGCCCCCTCCAGCCAGACCGCTACGACCTAAACCCCCGGCAAAAGCAACTCCAGGCACACCATCAGTAGCTCCATAGCGCCGCTGGTTGCCATTTCCTGCTAATCCTTGATCCATTCTGCAATACAAAAAGGGAAAAAAGTATATAGAATTTAGCAAATCGAGGAGAAGAACCAACCCAGGCATAATCGTTTAAAATTATGTGTAAAATATATTAGTTTGTACACATGAATAGAACTATACAATGTCGACAGATATGTTTCAATGTACAAATTGAAACGAGGTTGTGTCATTTAAATTTCTTGGCGCTACCACGTCAGCACAGCTAGGCATGACCATACCAGTTACAGCAAAATTATTTTTAGCTTGACACCTACATGTAAAACAAGTTAATTCACCACTTTGAAAAGGTGAGGTTGCAGGTGGGTTAGGTTTTCACAGTGCTGATAAAATAAACGTCTTGGGAATAGAATGGCCTTTAAAAAACTAATGGGTGGCGAGACAGGGAGTGGCAGCGGTCTAATTCTCGCAGAAACACAGTTTAACAACTAATTATGTAACCCACTGAAGGGAGTGTTCTGACAACACAAAGGCCTTTTTGAGGCCTCATTACAAGGTGCAGGTAGGAACACCAGGAATCGTGACAATACTTACCTACGACACACACAATGTCATGCAGCAATGAAGGCCAGGACAAAGACAGCCCAAGAATTACTCTAAGAATGAATCACAAAGAAGTTGAAGTCATTCCAACTTGTTTCAACTTGATGATGGTGTGGTGATGGGTGAGCCCGAGCCCCCACTCCGCCCCCTTCTACTGGTCCCCCCTCGGGGGGGAAATTTCCCGAGTCTTCCGTTTCTTACAGCTCAAAAAACTTCGTCTCTGTCTCCAAACATGGTGCATTTTTTCATTTCTTTCTCATGAGAAGCAATAAATCTGTCGTCATCTCTTAAAAGCGTACCTAATTCTTGACTTTAAAAGAGACAGAAGTTTGTGGGTTGGCACGCTCCACATATTAGCACTTTCACCAACGTCAAAAGATGAAAGAGGTCGTCCAATAACTAGAAACAAGTTCCACGTTCCTCGTAACACTAAAACAAACCTAATATTTTTCTTTTTCAAACGTGTGACATCTTTTCTGTACGGCGCTTCAAATTCTGTTCCACACTGTACTAAATATTTATAAAGTTTATTGTAGTGCCTACGCCGATCAGTTTCCGGATCATGTGCTTCACGTAAATTTCAAACGCATCACAGAAAAAGAAATGTAGAAAAGAATCTGAACAGGCCGGACAGTCTGCTCTTGGTTTATGTATTTAATTACTTTTATTCTTAAAAATTTAAGCAACAGCAAGGAGCGCGTAGTTTTCTAGGACTTGTGAAAATAATTCCTCGAAAGCAGTACTTGCAGATTATGTAAGATGTAACAGCAAATGAAACATGACAAATAAACCTCTTCAAGGAACGCTCTGCCACAATTTTCCTCTTAGAATGAAATTTGTATCCTTCACAAATTGTAATTTCCGCAAGCCCCGCCGACAGGCAGACCAGACGGGACTGCTTCCGCGTCCGTACGCGTCAGCTCCTTCTGCCGCCTCTCTTTCTCTTTTCCTCCGTTTCTTTGTTTACATCATTCTCCTTCTTCTCCACTTTCCTCGCGGCGCTCCGTCTCCTCCCCTCTTTCCGTCTCCCCCACCACCGTAAAGACCGTTTGGCCCAACGAATGTTCTGGCCATGTGACGTCACGTGAGGGACTACTTCTCGTCGGGGACCCTGCGCGCTGTTCCACATTCTATGTTTACATCCGAAAATGTGGTCTTTTGAAGGAAAAATGCGTAAGCAATAGGACAAGAAAAAAATTGTCGAGAGGAGGGTGAGTGGCACACGCAGAGTTCTTGGCATTTCACTGCTGAAAAATGGGTTTGTTGACATGGACTATGTTTTGCGGCGGAAGCTGTGCGCTATGCGGTTGCCAGAGCAAAGGAAAACAACAACACACCACGGCCGTGCAAATCGAGTTTCATTCATTGTGGAACGAGAGCCTGCCGAGAGCTGACCCGCTGCCGTCGCCATTTTATCGGAAAGCCGTCCCGTCCGCTCCGCAATTGAAGCCAACCCGGAAACTCGCGCAGCAAGCGTGCCTTGCCCCACGGATAATACGAGGAGCATCACGATGCCCAGCATAGAGGAAACTTGTGTGCTCTCCGCGGCCGCGCCCGCCGCCGCCACCGCCAAGACGTCGGGCACCTTGGTAGGCGCCTTGGCGCCGTGCAGAGCCGCGGCCGCCGCCAAGCAGGACTTCTTCGCCCGCGACATGGAGGAGCTGGTGTCCGAGATCAAGGAGAACCTGAGGCTCTCGTCGGGAGGCCTCAAGTCGAGGCCAGCCTTCTCTGTGATGCACAAGTCTTCCCGGCCCTCGCCCTACCGGATCCCCAGCAGAAGCAGGAGTTGGGGCGACCCGAACTGTGACGCCTGCGCCAAGGCCGGCACCTTGTGTTGTGGACATTCGTGCAAAAAGTCGACCAAGGTGGCGGCGGAATCGGACGATCCCTATGAAATGCTTCAGGAGCTCTTGAGGGACGGAGGACTTATCAAAGAGGCTGTGCGGCGGTTGGGCATGGGCCTCTCCCCCAAGCAGAGGTATTTCTACGATTCGGACGAGGATACGAGAAGTCCGATTCGAATGTGCCATGTGGAACTGTGAAGTGAAGTGATCTAGGCCCGTAGTGAAGATTGTGTTGAGTTCCTTGCAAGTGCTTGTGATGTACCGCCGCGAGCTGGCCGAGCCTGGCCGAGCCTGGGGCCTCCAGCGCTGTGCTGTGCTACTTGGCTGGAGAGAGTGCCACGGTCCTTGCGCTACACCGCCGTGCCCGGCCTGCCCGGCCGTGCCGCGCTGCCTTGGTGCCACGCTCCGCCTGCAGCCGCGCTGCTGGCGCTTGGATTTACGTGGATTACCCTTCCAGCAGCTCTGCGCGGATTGTCTTAATTTTTTTTTGAATTAATTTTTTTGTGTTGTGTAGGATTTATGTAAACAATTTGACGGCTGTGCGTGGGTGGGGCTGTGCTATGCCCTGCCCCCATGGCACGTTGTCTGTTAATTTATTGTCAAGTCTTAGTCAGATTTAAATTATTTCACTAGTGAAGGTCGCTTTTAATCTTGATTGGTCTACAATACCACTAGGATTGTTTGAACCTTTGAACCTTATAGGCAGTATTATGACTGCTAATGTCCGTCTCTGCTGCTAATATTTTCTCTCATGCAGTTGAAGACATTTAGTGAAGTAAAACATTTTGTTTTTACACTTGTTTTGATAAATTATTTGGCCTTGACTATGGAGCAATATGTGTATGCCTGTACCTATTAATGGGATCCCTCTTGACAGATGCAAATAGATTAGAATGTCTTGCATTTTTCGCCTCAGCCATTCTTATCTGGCTAGATAATTTGACCCTTTTTATTAAGGTAAATTTTCCACCTCTCGTTTTGTCTAGTTCTGGATCTGCTTATTCTAAAAGGTTGCAAAGAGGACCTCTTAATGAGTTGCCCTACAAGGTGTGCATTCCTTCCCAAAGAATTGCTCTAGTGATATGGGAATTAGGAAAAAAAATAATTAAATTTGGTATGAAAAGTTAAGAAAATGGTGGAACTGTAGTATGTAACAGTGATATTGATCTCATTTGCAACATAATTTTATGTACAAAAAAAATCATTTTACATATCTACCAAAACTACTTACGCCCTGCTTTGAAATGGTTTACTCACAAAACTGTATTGAACATTTCACTCTTGGTAGTGTGATTGTGATGATAAATATTTAATTTTTATGTAATGCGTGAGTTTTTATGTACATATGCTGGTGATAAAATTAATGAAAAAAATGTAGTTAGTTATTACATAAAATATGGTGTTTCCATTTGTACAGGGCAGTACCTTTTTATGTTAATTGGGTAAGGGAAAGGATGTGTCCTGAAATCAAAAGTTGAACATGAACATGTCAACTCTGTGAACTGGCAATCTGTTGTTGATTAATACTATTTAAACGCCGTCCAATTTGTGCTGGTCGTAGCTTGATATCCATTGTTCAGTGTTTGATTTCAGTGTGATATTTGGAAAATCAAGGAAGAATTGGCTCAAGAGATGTGGAGTTAGGCTTTTCATTTTTTTTCTAAATCGTTTCCTCATTTGCATTTTCTTTGATGTACCTTAAACTGTTATCTTAAATGTATAAATTAAACCTGCTATCTGTGTCATACGACTCTCATCAGCTTGTTTTATCCTTAGTTATGTTGATTTCTTTGAATTTTTTTCCTAGCCTGAATAAATTGTAATTACGCTTAATTTCTGTTAGAACTGAATGGAATATCTGACTTTGTCCATGAACTTCATAAACGAACACATTTTTGTGTTCACATTGTCATGTATCATGATAATACTGTGTAGTACCGTAAATGATAAAATGTTGATCTTTTTTTTAATCAGTCAAATGGTGTGCTTATGCTGCCCTCAAACTATACTTGTTGTCGAGTATTTTGTCTTCTAATTGTCTCCTCTCAAAAATTACATGTTCCAATTCATGTGTGGTGTTCTGTTGACTTTGTTTCTTTATAGTTTGAATTTTGAAGTATTGTCTTCTAATTGAATAATATTGATGATTGACATGCATGTTTTAGTGCATAATGTGTCTTGAGCACAGTAAAAGTACCTAAACAAAAAAGTAATAAATGTGATAAAGATCTAATGGCTGTGTTATATCTTCACACACAATCCCTCTACTTTTCTGCTCACACATGCTGCCCCAATGGCAACCCTAATCCTGAATCCTGGCTTCCATGCTGGAAAATGGTAGTGACCTAGATATTGCAATCACATTTTGAAAATCAAGTTTTTCTACATAGAGAGCCGTAGATCGGCTAGAAAGTCAGACACCACAGAACCTTGCCAAAATTGGGTAGTTCGTTTCCATATCGAGAGCGCTGGGTAGTTCCGGTACGGTGTGTACTGTCCGATGGAGAGAGATACAAGTTCCTGTTTGTTTGAGAGACGGCCAACAGGAAGCCCATCGACGTTCCGAAACTTTGCCGTTGTTGCCAGCGGAGATAAGGAGGGAGACATGGCAAGCTGCCTTATCTGCTACAAAATCAGGAGACGGCCATCCGCAGCATTGGCATTTGCACCCCACCGCTTGGCTGGCGCTAGCTCTAGCTCGGGCTTCCAGAGGCGCGGAAACTTTGTCGACACACTTCTAAGACGTCCGCGCCGGCGAGCGGTTTGAAAAAGCGCGCGTTGCAGCGGCCGAGGCGCAGACCAATCGCAGCGGGGCAATCAGCTGGCGGCACCGACACAACACGGCACTGTCACTCCGCGAAACGCCCATCGCCTTTCCCGCCGTTTCTGAGCTTCAACCGACGGGAATGTCTTCGTCTGTGGCACGGTAAGTGTCGTACCGAACGTCTTCTGCTACCAGTGTAGTCAGTCAGTCGCATTTCTGCGCGATAGACACTGTTTTCGCGAAACGGGGTTCGACATAACCTCACTTTGTGTTTTGCGGACAGGCGGGCATTGGTTTGTTTCTCATGACTGGGGCCTCGCGACGTTTGCAATGCTGTTCCCGCATGAAAGTAGTGAATCTACAGAGTTTTGATGCAGTCGTTTCGGTTGGCAACACCTAACGCAATGGGCGAGCGTTTCAAAGTGTTTGGCTGTCGCAGCTGTTGGCACCCCTAGCCTCGGTGGCTCTCAGTGTTTCCCCAGAGGCGCGCCCGTTTGAGTTCGGTGGCCATCCTTAGCATGTTTTTCGCAGACAGCACCGCAAATCAAAACCGATTTTCAGAGTGAAAAGACCGGGCTGGTGGTTCGGGCAAACGCGTCGTCGTCCCACAGTGGCTTCGCGCTTCCCCGCTGCGTTGCACAGCTTTCGTTCTTCCCTTTGGCACTCTTGGCCAGCGTTCGACGAGGGATTTGGGATTTGTCCAGCCGCAAACGTGACCGTGGGGCAGAGCCATGGGCAGAGCCACCTGGCTGATTCCGATCGTTTCGCTGCTCCGTCACTGTCACACTCATGGGGCGACCCTTTGGAGTGAGAGAGAGAGACGGAGCGACAAAGTCATTCTCTTCGGAATCACCCGACAGGCGGGGCCATCGGGGACTTAAAGACCGCCACCGGGGAATGTTCCATGTGTGCTTTTCGCTGGGCACGGCGCCGCCGTGCCGTCCAGCGCCCGGCGGGGCGGGGCCGTATGGGAAAGACTTGCCAAAGCTAGCAGACCCGTGCCGCGCTAACTGCGTCTTGGCTGGAATGAAAGGGGTTCAACAACCGCCGCGCCTCGCCCCACCTCGCCACCGCCACACCTCGCCACCGCCCCGCCCCGCCTCGCGCGATGCCCGGCAAACGGGGAACGAAACCTTTTGCGACGAAGCGCGTTTTGCGCGGCGTTGGCGTTGGCGCGGTACGCCGTCCCACGTGTTGCCTGCCGACTCGTCCTGAGCACTTTGTACCGGACACACCCACACAGGCGTTGCGGGCTCGAGTGTGCGGGATCAGGTACGCGATATGCACGTGTCTGAAGTGCATGTGGAGGCCGATAAGCCCAGAGGAAGGGGCCGGTGGGCTGGGCGGTGCCGAGCGAAGCGCCCGGCGGGGTAGGCCGACCCGCAGCACTCCGGAGCTCGACGGGACTGGCGGGGCGGGCCCGCAGGCGGCAAGGCTCTCCAGAAGACCGGTGGAGGAGGCCAAAATTCTGGACACGTTTGGAGCTCCAGAGTCGCTCAACAGGACCCTAGCTCAGTGGTTCTCAACCTTAGGGTCGCGACCCCAAGTGGGGTCGCGAAAAAATTTTAAGGGGTCGCGGCGAGGTAGCTGGGGTCGTGTTTTGGGCCGATTTTAAGCAGCCACTGCGTCTGATCCGAGGCGGGCATTTTGCTCCCTCAACGGGCAATTGGTCTTTGAACCTTCCTTTAGCATGCCTTTGTTACGGAGTGTGATTATCAGTCTTAGTTTGGGAGCAGTATTGTCTCAAAGTTTACCAAAACGGTCAGAAATGTCTAAGAAAAATCGTGTTTTGGGCCGATTTTAAGCAGCCACTGCGTCTGACCCGAGGCGGTATTTCGTCCTCCTGCAACGGGCAATTGGTCTTTGGACCTTCTTTTAGCATGCCTTTGTTACGGAGTGTGATTATCAGTCTTAGTTTGGGAGCAGTATTGGCTCAAAGTTGGCCGAAACGCTCAGAAATGTCTTTGAAAAATCGTTGTGCCTGTTTTGGTCAACTTTGAGACAATACTGCTCCCAAACTAAGACTGATAATCGCATTCCGTAACAGAGGCATGCTAAAGGAAGGTCCAAAGAACAATTGCCCGTTGAGGGAGCAAAATGCCCGCCTCGGATCAGACGCAGTGGCTGCTTAAAATCGACCCAAAACATGATTTTTTAAGACATTTCTGAGCGTTTTGGTCAACTTTGAGACAATACTGCTCCCAAACTAAGACTGATAATCGCACTCCGTAACAGAGGCATGCTAAAGGAAGGTCCAAAGACCAATTGCCCGTTGAGGGAGCAAAATGCCCGCCTCGGATCAGACGCAGTGGCTGCTTAAAATCGACCCAAAACATGATTTTTTAAGACATTTCTGAGCGTTTTGGCCAACTTTGAGACAATACTGCTCCCAAACTAAGACTGATAATCGCACTCCGTAACAGAGGCATGCTAAAGGAAGGTCCAAAGACCAATTGCCCGTTGAGGGAGCAAAATGCCCGCCTCGGATCAGACGCAGTGGCATGCTAAAGGAGGGGTCCCGTGGGGTCGCGAAACTTTTCCTGGGGGTCGCGGAAATTTTTGGCTACAAATTTGGGGTCGCGAGCCGAGAAAGGTTGAGAACCGCTGCCCTAGCTGAACGTGTGACCCCACCAATAGATTCCTCGTTCAGAGAGCAATCCATTGGTGGGGTCACACGCTCGGTTCGAGTCCCATTTAGCGACGCTGGAGCTCAAAACGCGTCCGGGATTTGGACCGCCTCCACCGGTCTTCCGGCCCACTGTGCGGGCGGTCCCCGACCCTCGCCGTCTACGGGGCCGCTTTTGGTGGAAAGGATGCACCGCTGGTTAATTTGCGGGGAGTGTCTCGGCCCCAGCGCGAGCAGAGCGTGGAGAAGTGCGTCCGTCTGTCTGTCCGCCACGCCAGCCTCTGTCTCGCGAACGTCGCGCCACTGGCAACATGCTGGCAACGCCGCGGTGCCGCGGTCTGGTCGCGCAGTCTCGCGGCGTGCCTCTAATAGTGCCGCCAAGCCGCGCCAAACCAAGGGAGTGCGGGGACAGGGGACGGGACAGGGACGCGGGGCAGGCCGGCAGGCTGTGCAAGGCGGGCAAGGCGAGGTTCTGGTCTAGCTCCGCGCAGCCTGTCGCGCAGCCTGGCCCCTTTCGGGGCACCCCGTCGGCCCCGGCGGCCTATGCCGTCCCCGAGCACGTGCCCAGCCTTTCCCCCGAGGCGGCGTGGGTGAGCGGAGGGCCGCCAGGGATGGCCTGGGAGAAAGCGCGCAAAGCTGCCATTGACTGTACGCGGCCATGTCGGCCATGCAGGCCGTGCCGGCCGCCGGGCTGCAGGGCACTGCAGGGCAGGGCCCCGCGATGCACCGCCTCCGGCCGTAGACCCCGCGCGGCTGCGACGCCGAGGGGCGGGGGGCCGCGGGGGCCGCGGCGGTCGGCCGGCGGAATGCTCCGCTGCTCCTTGCTCGCCGAGGCGGAGGCGCGGAGGCATGCCTCTGCAGGCGGAGGCCAACGTCCCAATCCCGAGGTGCACCGCTTCCTGTCTCGACGAGGAAACGCAACGCGGCCCGCTCGCTCGGCCTGCTTATCCTGCTTAGCGGCGGCCCCCGCGGCCCCCGCGGCCCCTCGGTGGTTATGGCCGCGGTTGCGTCGACGGTCACAGCGCAGCCAGCGCAGCCTCGCGACGACGGACTCCTAGACGCTGAGCGACTCTCCGTGACCCACATAGTTTCCGCGCACCGACGCCATTTCATGCCTTGTTCCCTTTCAGCCGCGTCCTGCTGGGCTCTTGGCGGCGCGGGGCGAGTCTCGGGGCGAGTCTCGGGGCGAGTCTCGGGGCGAGCGGCACACTGGGCAGCAGCCCGCCGACGCGGTCCCTCTGGTCCGAGTGCCGCCACGAGGGCGCGGGCCGCGCGCCCTTAGGGCCCAGGCCGCCCAGGCCCAGAATACTGCGAGGGTGGCCACCCGGCCTCGGCCTCCCCGTCGGCCGCCACCGCGCGCTGCACCGAGCGCACCGGGGCCGCTCTAGGTAGGGCTGCATGGCTTTGCTCCCAGAACACACGCGATAACGCGATAACGCCTCCATTAATGCCCGAGTTGTCTCTCCTAATTTGTTTACGGCTGGAAAATGGGTTATCGCCGGCACTCGGCTCCCGTGTTTGTGTCGCGCGCCCTTTGCCGCCGTGTCACCGTGGCGTCACGTGTCACGCGGCGTGTCACGCGCCGCGTCACGCCGGGTCACGTTCCGAGGCGCGTGGGCCGTCGCGGGGCCGTCGCGGCGACGCGGCGCGGGACGTGCGGCGAGAGCGAATCAGTTTCCCGGCCATCAGAACCGAATCGACAAAGTGTTCCTAACGGTGTGCTTCTCGTGTCCTCTGGCAGGTGCAACGGCGAGGCGGCCCAGCCCGGCTACTCCATGGGCCCGCACACGCTCAAGGTGCCCATGGAGCTGTTCGCTCTGAACCGGCAGCGCCTGTGCGAGGCCCTGCGCCCCAGCGTCCCGGACGGCGCCGTGGTGCTGCTGCAGGGCGGCGACGACGTGCCCTTCTACTGCACCGACATCAGCTACGAGTTCAGGCAGGTGAGTGGAGTCAAGAGTGGAGGCGGCGCGCCGGCCCTTCCCCCGCCGACGCCGTCCGGTCCGGAGCGTGCTGCCAGCGCGGCCCGCCTGCCTGCCAGCCTGCCAGCCTGCCAGCCTCGTCGGCCGATAATCGCGTTATGTCACAATGTGGGTCGGTGGCTGCCAGCTCGGGCGGTCCGGCTGGCGGCGCACTTTGCCTTGATTGCCTGCCGGCTTTTGCCTGCTCCGCCGCCGTGCCGGCCGCCACCAAGCCTATGCCGAGTTTGCGGGGAAGGTCGCCGCGGAACGCTATCCGCGCTGCACACTCATTCCGAGAGTCGTTTTCGTCGCTCTGTCTCTCTCGCACTCACACGGGACGCCCCATGAGTGCGAGAGAGACAGAGCGACGAAAACGACTCTCGGAATGAGTGTGCAGCATCGTGACGCGCCGCGCCAGCTGCACTCGCGGTTTGCTGGAGCGGCTGGAGCGGCTGGAGCGGTGGGTGCAACGTCCCGGCTCAGCAGCTCGGCGTTGCCTGGCTTTGCCTGGCGTTGCCCCATCCGGGCCGCCTCGCCTCCCCCGTCCCCGCCGTCCGCGCCGTCCCCGCCTCGCCAGGAGAAATCGTGACTCATTCACCCACCGGCCCCGCCGCCTCCTGTCGTGTAAGGTGTACCGCGATTTCTCCCTTATAAGGCGAGCGCATATCGCCCCTCTCGCCGCGCGGCCGTCGCCAGGAGGGCGGGCAGGGCCGGCAGGGCCGGCAGGGCCCCGCGTGGACACGGCCGTGCCGGCGTCACAGTCACGTGACTTGCGGTCACGAGGCCGGCTGGTCGGCCGGTCGGTCTTCCCCGTGCAGCTGTTTGGCCGAGCCGCAGCACCGCGCGGTCTCACACTCGCACGCCGTTGGAAAGTTCCTCGCGCACTGCTGGCCGCCTCCTATCCGCGGATATCAGTTGCCTCGCGCCCCGCCGTCGCCGGCCTGCCCAGGGCCTGGCCTGTGTGTGCCGCGCACACGGCCCGCTGGTGACTCAGGCCTGAGCGAAGCTGGGCGAAGCTGGGCGAAGCCTGGCGACAACGGTTCCGTTGTTTGCGGCTCCACTCCGCGCGGCCGTGGGGGCCGTGGGGGCCGTGGGCTGGAATGGCTGGAATACGCCAGCCTCCCCGGCGGCTTCCATTGCCTCCACTGCAAGTCGCCGTGCCCTTTGCCTACGCCACCGCCGTTGCGTGGCTCGGCCCGCTCGGCCGTGTTGGTAAACACGGTGTGACGTGGCTGGCTCCGCGCTCCGCTCGGCCGCGCCGCCGCCGTCGTGCGAGGACCTTACCGCAACAGTCCTTGTTGACCCCGCGGGCCCCGCCGCGCCCGCCCCCGGCCCACCGACCTGATTTCTCCAATAACGCGCACGCGTGTGTGTGCATGTCGCAAGGTTAGAGGCGCGGGCGGGGCCGGCGGGCTTCTTCGCGCTGTTTCGCGCGCACCCCGGCCGACGTTGCTGCCTTGCTGCGTCGTGCACTTCCCTTCCACTTCCGCGGTCAGGCCGATGCCCTCGTTGTCCGCCTTCGCTGCCTTCGCCCCGTTCGTGTCATTGTTGTTGTCCGCGGCGTATCGAGCCTCCCTGCCCTGCCTGGCCGTTTCCGAGAGTTGGGACAAAAGGGGGACGCGCTGACCAAGTGCGAACGCGGCGCGTTTCCTGCCGCGCCGTTGCAGTGTGGCAGTCTGCCGCAGGCTGATTCCGAGAGTCGTTTTCGTCGCTCTCTCTCGTCCCTCTACGGGGCGCCCCGTTAAGTGTGAGAGAGACAGACTTTGGGAATCAGTCCACAGTGCACCCGTATCGCGACTTCATGCTGGGTGTGTCGCTGCCCTGCCCACCCCGCAGCGAGGGGCACAGACACGCTGGACCGCGGGGCACCGCGCTGCCGGACCGAGGCTGATGCCGGCTTGCCAGCTTGCTTGGCAGTGCCGCTGCGCGATGCGCTATCAATCCATCTAGTCCATCCATCTCAAGGCTGTTTGGGTTCGGCGGTTCGGCGTGGAAAGAGTGGAGCCGGCCGGTCCGGGTCGGTGCGGGTCGAGCCGCGTGGAAGGTTTTGGGCGCGCGGCGCGCACCCTTCGGGCGCCTCACGCCAAGCCTCTCGCCACGCGGCGCGACGCGGCCGGCCCGGACTCGCTGACGCGTTGCGGCTAGCGGCTAGCGCTCCCGGCCCGGGCCCCAGCGTCGCGACGCCTCGCCGCCCCGCCGCCGCGCAGACCCCCGTGACTCAGGCCGAGCCTCAGGCCGCGGCGTCCCTCCGGCGTTGTCGTCGTCCTCGGCCTGGTTGGCCTCCAGCATGATTGGCGGTCTGGCCGCCAGACGCTGGACAGGTGCAGGCAAGCAAGACTGATGCCGGGAGTCGTTTTCGGCCGCTCTGTCTCTCTCGCACTCGTGGGGCACCCCTTTAGAGTGCGAGAGAGACAGAGCGACGAAAACGACTCTCGGAATCGGTCTGCTGGCGGCAGGTGCGGCGTCGGCGTGGTGGTCGAGCACACTGTCGGGCACGTGCTGCACCACCAACAGGGCCAGCGGCATCGCAGCCACTTTCCTCCGACGGCGGCCTCTTTGCCTCGGGCAGCGCCAAAATTCGAACACAACAAAGGCGCAGGGAGTAGTGATGAAGCGCGAAGCCGATGAGACACTTGCAGTGGTGCAGCTTGCAGCGACCGCGTTTAGACCGCACCCCTTGAGGGCGCCACGCCGTCGCCGTGTGATCGCCTAGATTACTATCGGGGATTGTTGCTGCTGTTGTTGCTGTTGCAAAAGCGAGTGAATCAGTGAATGGCCCAGTGACACTGCCACTGCCAGGCCAGCGCGCGGTATCGCCCCGCGCCAGATTACAGGACGAATTAGACTCTGGGCAAATGGGTCTAGTGTTTTGTGTTTTATCGCACGCTCCGCGCGCCGCTCCGCCCTCGGCGACTTTCCCAGGCGCTCGTCTAGTCGCGTCTCGTGCGGCCGCGGCGGGTCGCGGGGTGCGTCATGTGGCAACACCTCGCAACGCCGCGCCGTGTTTTGTCGCGACAAGTGGCTTTATAAAGCGTCGCGGTGCTTGCTTTGCGCGCTTGGGCCCCGCCATGGGCCCCCGCCTTGATCGGCGGCCCGGCTCGGCCCGGCTCGGCCGCCAACAGTCAACACAACACGCCGGGCCGGTGGGCCGGGTGGGGCTGGGTGGGGCGGCCCGGGGAACTGACCTCCCCGTCGCCGTGGCCGCCGGCCGGCCGGCCCGGGCCGCCCCACCACGCACGCACCACGCCGGCCACAACACCGGCCACGTCGCAACACGACTTCGCCGAAAGAGCAGTAAAAGGGGGACAGCGACAGCGCCATGGAGCGGACGCTCGGCATTCCTGGCGGGGCGGGCGGCGGGGCGGGGCGGAACTTCAAATACTGCGAGTCACGCCGTGTTTTTCTCTGCTATCGACTCGGGGCACCGACGCCCGGACGGCCACTGACTCACGGAGGAAGTCCCCGCCGCCACGTCGCGCGGTCGCGCCCCGCCTCCACGCGCGTCCTGCCTCTGTCTCTCTCGCACCCCTTCGGCCACCTGAGCGACGCTCTGCGAGTGCGAGGGAGACAGAAAGCAGTCCTGTTGCACGATAAGCTCGTGGGCGTGGCGGCGCGGCGGCGCGTCCTGGACGCGATGCACTCCTATGCACGGCTATACTTAGGCGGGGTGGCCGAGGTGCCCGTCGACGACGCGCGCCGCAGCTGTCGCGGGGATGGGGCGCGCCGAAAGCCGCCGAGCTAACGCACACACGCACGAGCACACAGCGCTCCTTGGCGGAGCCCCGTGACACACGACGTGTTCCTCGAAGCGACGTGTGCTTGTGCTGCCCCCCGTGACGCGTCACTGTGAAAACAAGCTGCTGCCTTCGCTGCCGCCGCGCTCTTCCTGCAGGCCGGGGAGGATGTTTACACACCCCGCCGCCTCTCGGAAGTCGCAGTCGTGCCCGTTCGGATGGCCATTCGGCGCCGCCGGGCGCGGGTGTGGCGGATTCGCCCATCATCTGGCGCGTTAGGCAAAAACTCGCACTTTGACCCTGTAGGTAGGCAACTTTGGCGACCACCCCGTCCCCCCTGAACCCGTCTCTGCATTCGCTCTTGTTGCCCATCTCCCCCCGGGGGCCTCCCTGCGAGGTAGGCAAACCCGCCACACTGCGGCGTCGCTGGCGAGGCAGGGGCTGCCTACCCGCCAGGCGCGCTGGCTGCTTGACGTGCCCGTGCCCGCCCCGTGCCCTGCCCCGTGCCCTGCCCCGTGCCTGCCCCGTGCCGCCCCGTGCGCTGCCCGGCGTGCCGCCCTCTCCACCGAGGCGGCAGCCGGCCCGTATTTCCATTTCGGGCCACGCGGCCGCACGCGGCACGGAGCGCGACTGTGACCGCGGCACCGCGGCGGATGGAGGTCGTTGGGGACGCGGCCGGCGCGGCCCTAGGCGGCAGACGCGGCTCGCAGCGCCGTTTTCGTCTGACGCAAGGGATGGGATTGGGGGGGGGGGGGCCTCATGCCGGCGCGTTATGGAATGTTTTGCGCCGAGCCTCGCCGAGCACGTGGAGGTGTCGTTACGGCCTGAGGCTCCGCCGGCCAATGCAGTGCGAGCTGCGACTCTGCGAGCGCTTTGATGGCCTCTGTCACGACTCGTGATCCGGCCCAGGCTCGGGCTGGCCAGGGCAGACAGGCAGAAAAATCTGCCGGGGCCTTCGGGTTTGGGACCAGTAACGTCACAAATTTGGTCAAAGAGTGACTGAATCCCCGAAAGTGGCCGTTTTCGCTGATTTTGGGCGGCCACTGCGTCCGATCTAGTTGCGGCCAACGGCCTACCTCGACGCCCTAGTATTCTTAAGACCCTACTCTTTCATGCCCTGTATCGGGAAGACGTTGACCACAATGATTTTGGCTTTGACCGCAGCGATTTTCCGACCAAGTTGGTCAAAAAGTGGTCAAATCTCGGAAATTTGCTGATTTTGCTGACTTTGGGTGGCCACTGTGTCCA